AAATGTGAAGGAGAAAGAAGGGAGGCGTCAGCAGTAGCATGTTTTCGCTTACCCGCCCTGCTGTATGCAGCAAGTAAGGCGACCCGGCTGATGGCACCACGCGACGGCCGATGTGGCATGAGAGTATTGTTAGTTGTGTAGGTCATGGTTGTACGAGGACTGGGATACTGTCAGGAGGACGATTAGGGTCCTCAATCAAAGCCTTTGGCTCAAAAGCCTAACCACAAGGCAGCGGTGTTTGGCGGGGAAATGCAAATGCATTACCTTTTCTACGGAACAAGTCGCCATACATGTTCCAACCCCCAACCTGGAGGGCCAGGAGACTGTGTTTGTCAGACCTCTAACCATTGACCAACCTGGTATGAGAGACTCTGTGAGTGTCGCGCGGACACCCCCAGTATAGCCCAATGGGTCTCTGAGGTACACAAACCGCCACACCACGGTAAGGTCCAGTCTCTTCGTGACATGTGAAGTTAATGCGTGGATAACGAAGATAGTGACAGCGTTTGCCAACCTGTGTCATGGCGTCGGAAACGGATTTCGCAGAAACTAGGGAGCCATTTATACGAGGTACATGTAAGCGACGCCTTACGTTTTGGCTGTGAGGCTTGGGTCCTCCGGTCTTAGGATCTTAGGCGTTCTGAAAATTTTGGTCACCTTACCATATCTCCGTATCATAGCAAGAGTTCGCTGACTGCTGTGAGTATGCAAGGAAAAGTTGCGCAAACGAGTACTTGGTAACGAATCAGAATATTTAGAACGGCAGATTAAACCTATCAGATTAAGGCGGCTGTGACATGTAGCACGTATGCCAACCGCAGTCTACTCAAGCGACCGTTGTTTTCCGTTCCAAATCATTGTTGGAGAAAAGTTGTTTGGTTAGAGAGCTTGGCATTACAACGTGAAAAAGCGCCTACATCCAAAATGATTGTGATGTGATCTTCGCGCTTTCCCGGCCGGGCCCACATGATTCTGCTTGCTTTTGCTAGAAACCCTCCATGACATGGCACGCAACGCAGTGGCGCTACCGTATCTATTCTCTATGTTATTCTGACTAAACGGACAGCGGCCAATATCATAAGGTCTAGAAATCTCATGGTGAGTTGAGCCGTGTATTCTTATTGAAGTGTGCTGGTTAAACGCTGACGTGCAATGGTGCGGACGCTGGTTGTAAGCTGTATAAGATCTCCACAGTCGACAAAGTGGACCTGGAGTAAGCCCCTTGAAACGTCACTAAGTAGTTTATCTTCAGTGCAAACGCTTCGGTATTCATCGAACAGCTGCTTTTGTTTCAGGTAGCTGATACGGTACTCGATAACTGGTACTCCACCCACTTTAAGTTCTGCTGAATTGAAAGGTGTTCAGTTGAAATATCCGGCCAAACTTTCCGGTGCATTTAGAGGTGCTAACTACTCATTCGAATCCACCCGTATGGTGTAGTGGGTTTCGGCGAAGTGTTATCCTGATTAGCTCTGTCTCACTGCACACCAGTGGAATCGCAGTGATAGTAATTTACAAAACAATGGTTTCCCGTCATTTCTCCTTATGATAGAAATGCCTTTCCAACACTTTGAGTCCCTTTTCCTAGTTAAAGAGCGTCGAGCGGGATTTTATCTCGCGTTTTAGGGCTCTCGCGTGCGTGTTCACTTGCGCAGGATTGGGTAGTGATGCTCCTGGAAGCATTCGCCATCTGACCCAAGAACTGCAACTGCGGTTTCTGCCATTTCGGTTATCCTGTCGGATCGCCACAAAGTATCCCCGTAGTTCTGTCGCATGCAACCTTTGGCGCACACACTTTTGATGCCACACACCCAATATACAGATTAAAACCCTCAAACATAAGTGCGCATTAATTTTTGGTGAATTTAAGAGCTGATGAATAGAGAACCAGGAGCACCAGCATGACAGGTCGAGGTAACATCCTCCAACCGCGAATGGCAGGCAGCATTATCACGTACAATGACCAACAGTCTGAACGCAAGTGAAAGAGGAGCTCCTGCATCTATTGATATAGACGTTCACTCTTACATGATTCTCGTTTGCGGTTAACTTCACCGGGCTACCGATGGATAACGCACCAGTGATGGACAGCTTCTCTTTGCTACTTGACTTAACGGCGCGCGATCGTATACCTTTAACGGGTTGACCCATCGTTCAGTCGCGGAAATGATTTTTATTGGTTTCACCCACCCTCTTATAGATAAAAAACTCTCAAGAAGTAAATTCATATGGGCTTATCATTACCAAGAGAATACATAATTTGAAAAAAGAGCAGGTAGACAACCAACGAAATAATTTGATAAATTCGCAGTACCCATTTCTCATCGTGATGCCTCAGGTGAAATGTCGACAAAGTTACGGTTCTTTTCAAGCCAGCTGACCAGTTCGCTTACCTCCAAATCATTCAGTGTGCGTTTCCAAATTTAGTTCCACCCAAAAAGATCAGGTCCTTCGTTTTTACCCAATAACAGTTTTTTTACACCAACTTGTTCATCTGTAACACCATCCCGGTGTCTACGTGCTATCTGAAGGAAGCACGGAGGCTGAAACACTGCTAGATTGCCCCAGCCTAACAGGAGCAGTCGAGATGCAGAGGTTGAGCTCGAACCACGGTCAGTAAATTCGCGCTTCAACCACTGACCCATCTCGAGCTCACCGAACAATGCTGCTATCAGTTCGCCTTGGTCGAACGATTCCTGAGAATTTCCTCTCGCATCAGCTGAATGCACTACTTCGTGTCTTTCCAGTACTTCTGTACCAAAGAACGGTTTCAGAATGATAGAGTCCCTCTTTCACTTTCGTCGATTAATTTGTTGGCCTCCACTTTGTACACTTGAGATCGACCAAACATAGTGCACTTCGTGAATGCTGAGATCCGCAATTAGTAAAGTCATTGGCCAACCACGGAGAAGTTAGCGAACCAAATTGTCTGATTTTGCGTCTGTACTAATGAGCTCGGTGGTTCATCAATTTGGTCATACGCTAGAGGGTGTTCGCCTCAACTCGATCACTTGCCCAACCCACCCCCACAGTTCGCAGTTTTTCTACCATTAGGCAGAGCACAATTGTGGTTCCCTCACCTCACTTCCTTTCTCAACCTCCGGTGTTGGTTTGTTCCGATGTCCAGGTCCCATATTAAGGTCTTACGACCCAATTTGACGTCCGAATAGAGGCCGCCAACCTGAAGCGTACTATTAGTTTGCTGAAGCTAAGTGTGAGAATGACTGAAAAAAGTATGGGAAGGATGCCCTTCACCTTGGGATCATTAATCCATTCTCTGTAAGCTCTTGTTGCTGCAACACTGATTGTGGGGATAGCTTTTATCATCCTTTGTTCTGCGTGTAGCACAGTATCTACCGATGATTCTGACTGAAAAATTCCCTTGCTAGCTTATTTGCTGACTCGCTTGCCTTTCAGTTCCTGGCCGCTCATCATCGCCCATTTCTGTATCTCTGTTTACAGACACCGGTATGACCGTCAGCTCATCCGTGGACTCTGCACACGCAGGCATTTCTCAGTCCGTTATTGAATACCCGCGACTGTCGTTGACTCTCCGACGTTTCAGCTCTTTGGCTGGTGCCGAAACCTCTGCTTCTGTGTGTTGTAGTTTGGAAGAAAAATTGGTCGAACTATCCAGCGGAGTACTTCCAAAGGCCACGAACTTTTGCAATCACATCCTGAATATATTACCCAAAGATTTACGTCTGGATGTTCGAAAAACCGTTAGCGATGCTTTTAGAAAATACGTGGACTGCTGTTTGTCCTTAGTTGGTCAGGATACCGTTGATCCTGGCGAAACTGCCAGATTTGCTTCCGTTTTATTTTTCGCATATCTCGGTCCAAGCTTGCTCGAATTGCACGACCGTGGTGTATTACCAGCAGATTTCTCACGTCATTCTATGATTCGAAATAACCAATCGTCACTCCTTGAAAAGTTGGGCGGTTCTGGTGCGACAGACAGCCAAAAGGCGTGGGCTTCATTGTGTATTTCTTTGGGCATCTTTTTGACCAACCGTGTATGGGATTCAGTCAGAGATGAACTAACTTCACTAATGCGTAGATGTCGGGTTGCTGTCGAGGCAGACTCCTGGATTTCTCTATTTACCCTCGAAACCCCACCAACCAATCAATTTGTGACATCTCCTGTGGTGGACTTTGAGCTTGCCTGGGACGCAGCTCGAATTTCTCGAAATGAACGAGCACGGGCATCTTCCATATTATTTCACACATTGTTCTCATGCGCAAAACACAATACACAAAACAGACCGGATAAAACAGGAATAGAAACTGAGTCAGCTGCCGCCGAGGTTCTGAGGTTAGTGTTTGAAGTCAATTTAATACTGCTGACCTTTTACGAACCTCCCTAGAGTTGTTTAGAATCTTTGTCCCTGTCATACACTTTCTGGTGCTATTAGTTCATCGTATTTTCCTCATTTACAAATGACTGGTCATCTGGTAGCCGCTGCCCCCTCTGAGAACGCTGCATGTCACCTTTCGCTTGTGTATGCGGCATTGTTTCCGATACAGCTGTAACTAATATTGGTGATTTCGTCGGTTTATTTTCGGATTGGTTGCCTGTCCACTCGTCCTGCACAAAATACAGCAAACGCTCGTAGAAACCGGATTCTCTAGTTATCTCCGCATTTGCGATAAGAACTAGGGTATGCTTGCCTAATGGTGGTTTGGGGGATTTTCAGGTTCGAAACTTCATTCAAGCTCTGCCGCCTGCTCTTCGGACTGCAGTGGATGCCATATAATCCATAAAAGTGTTCACAGTTTCAAACCTTCAAAACAACTATCGCCTACCACCCTTTGTCTAATCAGCAGCGATTCAGCGTTACAAGCATAATCCACCTAAGCAACTTGGATTAGTGGCCCATTTTGCTTCGACTTTCTAAGGTCGACATAAGTGTCCTTTTTTCTTTCATTTTATGTTCTAGCCCGACCTTGGTTGTGACTTTTGATTTTACTGGTGATTTTAGGTGTGCTCTGCAATGTTTTTTTATCACAAAGATTGACTGTAGTCATTTCACTTCAATCAAACAATTTATTAGCTCTAAACCGTGTAACTTAGGTACATTGGTTCTAGCTGCTACGGTTTCGATCACCAGAAAGTGGGAGAGTGAGGCATGCAGTCAAATATTGGAGGCGATGGCTTGTTCGATTAGTCCGGCAATTGGGTAGCTACGCATTGAAGGCTTTGATGCACGAGCGCCTCTGACTGCCCGATTGGGCCATTCCTGCATGTGTCATTAACCATTGATGAGTTGAGTCCCGGAGCCCCTATCCAGGAAGGTGGCAGTTGTCGACCTGACTAAGTTTACCGTTTAGCGTCTTCATACTTCATTGCCAGGCCATACACTGTCCAACTCTCGGTCGCTTCCACTCCACTCAGGGCTGGGCGAAAAGAGCTCTGCGAGGCAGACGGTCTTCTGGGATGTGAACTGCATGTCCTAACCAGCGTAACCGATGAAGCTTGAGTAATTCATCTGTCGCCGGAAAGTTCCTTCTTCCTAAGACCATCTGGCATACCTCAACATTACTAATCCGACGTTCCCACCAGACCTGACCAACGCTTCGGAGACACCGATGATCAAACACTGACATCTTCCGTATGCCCTCTGCACTTAGAGGCCACGTCTCTGATTCACAAAGCAGTGTTGATCGCACTGCTGCTGTGTAAACTCTATCATGGACAGGCAAACTCACGTTACGTCGGCACCATGGGTGTCGGAGGTTGGCAAAAGCAGCCCTGGCCTTTCCGGTTCTCATCTCCAGCCAGTCCATCGGAACTTATACAGCTGCCCAGGTAAACAAATTTATCTACCATGTCGACTGACTCGCCTGCTAGCATGAGGTGTGGGTTTGATTCCATCCAGTCTTGTAGCATCACATTAGACTATGCAGGTGTGAAGCGCATACCAAACTGTGCGGCAGAGTTATTTAGGTTATTTAAAATAGCTTGCATTTTTGAAGGATATGAACCAAGGAGAGCAATATCGTCTGTATCCTCGATGTCTGTAAGAGAACGTCCCGGGAGCATTTCGACTCCAGAGGTGTCAAAGGCAAGCAGAGAAACTTCAAGCAGCACATCAACAACGAAGTTAAGGAGGAAAGATGAGAGAGGACAGCCTCGTCTTACACCACTGGACGTGGTGAACTCAGGTAGAAACCTGCCGTATACTCGTACGCGCCCACAGGAGTTGGCATACAGTGCCCTCGTAAGGAAGCGAAATTTGAAAGAGACATTTTGATCGCCAGACACTGCCAAAATTGCTGACGACCGACAGAATCGAAAGAAGCTTTCAAATCCAGGAAAACGACCGACGTGGGACATCTGAAGGAGCGGCGCTGTTCAAGGATTTGTCTCAAGGTAAAGATATGGTCGATGCATCCTCGACCAAGGTGAAACACAGCTTGATTCTCATGAATCTGTCTCTCCCCATAATTCATCAACCTGCGCAAAATAATGTCAAAGAGCATCTTAGATGCAACATATACCAGGCTGATACCATGGTTTTCACATGACGTTCTTGCTCCCTTTTTGCAAACTGGGATGACGGTGGATCAGCTCCGTTCGGCCAATATTCTTTTTTCGTTCCAAATCTGCAGTAGGGGTGTCAGACTGTTCACCAGGACCTCAGCACCTTCTTTGAAGAACGCAGGGTGTAGATCATCCTGACCAGGTGCTTTGTCGCGCTTCAGGATTGAAATCTCACGCTGAATTTCGGTTGCGGATGGCGGGTTGGTGTCAATGTTCCATTTGGGACTGCTTGGTTCTTCCAGCGATAGTGTGAAAGGAGACCAGGTGAACTGTTCTTGGAAGTGCTCAGCTCATCACCACTCTTCGCATATTGTCTTACTGAAACCTGTCTTCTTTTGACCGTTTGATTGAATCAGTTGAAACAGTTCGGGCTGTTGCCTGCAGCGAAAGCCTTCTCCATCTCCTGGGCCTTCGAAACCCACCAGTGTTCTCTGTCATTCTTCAAGCTCATGATTATTCAGTGTTTAAGGCATCTGCGTCTGCCATAGTAGTCGCTAGTTGCCAGTATGGTTTTTCTGGAAGATGTCGAAGATATCCAGTGTTCATTCACTGGGATCAGATGACTCTGACAAACAGTTCTGAAAGCTGAAAACACAACTACTTTAACTCGCCCCCATTCAACCTCCAAGCAATCTTCGTCATCCCCTTGACTATGCGCTTCTAGCCAGATTAGCTCGATACTCTTCAGCTGCTGAAACTTGTCGAAGTTGTTGAACGGAGGTGCCCTCCTTTGGCACGCATAATGCTGATGGAAAGCGAAGTGATAGTCGGGCCCGCACAATAGCATGATCAGAGTCAAGCTGCGTACACCAAAAGGAACGACAGTCTTTAATTGACGTTCTCAATCGGTAATTGAAAGCCACATTGTCTAATTGGGTCGACGACTGTCTTGCGGTAGGGGGTCCCCAAGTAACTCGATGTGAGCGTTTGTGTTGGAAGTTCGTACTGGCCAGGAACAGATGAAGATCTGCACACAACTGAGGCAGTCACTCCCATTATCCGTACACTGGGTATCGACTCCAAATCTGCTACCTGACTGTGCTTCTTCCGAGCTTATTCATCTCAATTGGGTTTTAATATCAACTGCCAGGATTACTATATCCGCCATTTTTGCTATGGCTATCTGTCAAACAGCAGTTCAGAATTTTAACTCAGTCTATTCTTTGTCCGTGAATACAACTGGGCGCATGAAGTACCTAATGCTACCTGGTGCAGTAGACACTGGTAGCTGTGGATAAGTTGTCCAGCACGGTTAACTTTTCAGCTTAGGATTTCTGTACATCTTCCGCTTGACTTTTAAAATATCCACTTAGTTCACACTTCAGCATACGGTTATTTGGTGATGACGTGCGAGTATGCGTAGTAAACGACATCTGTACTCCACAGTTCCAATGCGAGGATCTTCTCGTTTTCATTTACCTCACAGGCTTGCTGTTTCACAATCGTTGCTTGGCAAAAAACCCACCGAGGCTGTCGATGTGACCGCTCTGATAGAGGAACTCACAATGCCGTGTACAGCTTTGGAAATGTCGACTGATCAGCTGTTAGATATACTCCTTGAGCTGCTCAAGTCCTCTCGTTCAGATGATGAAATTCAAAATGAAGTAAGTGAACGTTAACCCACCTTCACAACAAACTCATCATTGTATCTTGATGTGCACAGCATTAATCATGACAAGTCATATTTTAACTTTTCTTTACAGTGAGTCCCTGGTTTCAGTGGAAACAGAAAATCCAGAACTGCTTTCATAGTTCGTTATGGTTATTCGTCAGGTGTGTTAGCTGGGATGGCGTAAACTGGCCAAGAACAAGGATAGAGGTGAATTTTGAATCTACCCATGAGCGACTCCTTAACATTAGAAACTCAACACGAAAGCCTGAATCGTTGGTTTGACTCAAAATTACTCAGCCTTAAAATGAAATGTCACATTCCGATACATGCTGACAGATTGTAAACTGCTGAAATACATGCGCCTGACACTGTCACCAAGCAAACCTTTGTTTTGTGGGTGGTGGAATTAAGATTTAGATTTAAGCTAGCAAAGGAACTGTTTCTTTCGGTGTCTGTTCCATTATTTCTATTATTCAGGTCTTCGACGAACTTCTATGTAATGTGACCTTTCTTAACTAACTACTAAAACGTTAGAATACACACCACAGGGAGAAGATTGTCCAAATATACGGTAGGGGTCTTGTTCACTTTTTTGTTGTTCTCGCTATACAATACATTGTATGGCTCGAGTGTCTTCCACAAATAACATGCGTATGTATACATGCTATGTGTATACGTTACAAAACTAGCTGAAGTGTAGTACCTGATCATTTGAGAGAACACGCTTAGGCATAACTTGTTCATTCTTCTCAGACACACTAGATCAGCAAGTTTCGATTGATAAAATCCAGTATTTGTGTCCTCTAACACAGCAACTGATCCCCAATGATGATGAGCATGCGTATGTATGTGTAGACATACACGCAATATACGCATATGTATGTATCCGCATCTAAACTTACTCAGCTGTGTGCCATGGATAGTTCACATCGAACGGACATACATCTGTTCTGTGTAATTTGAGCACAGTAAGTTCCACACATGTCCAAAGGAAAAAGTAAACGCTCGACGCTTACCCTTCTAAAACAAACTGGACCTGTGCATTTTTGTTTCGGTTTGGTTCCAGGTAGAAGGCTCTCGTCAGCAAAAAACGTAATGAGGAAGATCGTTCAGTATTTTACTCGTGAAAACATTGTCTGGGGAGTTGGGCGATAAAGTCGGTGAATGAACCTCGGAGGTCCGAATCACGTTCGCTAATTTGCGTCACTTGTAGCGCCAAAACGGTATATCACTGGGTCTCAAGGGTGCGTTTGCCAGGTTACAGTAAGCGCTGTATTTTTGTGTAGTTGCGAGACGTGGCCTCTGCAGATGAATGATGTGAAATGCCTTCAAGGTTTTGGCCACCGATAGCTCAAAAGCGTTGCTGGTGTCGGTTGGCGTCAACGAATTCGTAACGAGGTAATTAGAAAACGGGCATTTGGTTGCTAAAGTACTCCAGTCGCTAAAACCATCGAGCACCATAAACTGCAGTGGTCCGGTCATGTGCTACACATGCCGAAACACTGTCTATCAGGATGGATGTTTTTCTCCGTGTCTCCTTCAGAATGCGTAAATCGTAGGTGGACAACGTATGGCTTAGCCGATGGACGTGAGGGAGTTAATAAAGGGCTTGGGTGGTAGGCTTGTTGTGATAGGCCTTCCAGGACAGAGTACCTGTGAACCTTCCAGCGTTTGGCTAGAGACATTGCAAAAATGGCGGCTGATCAATGTCAGTGGCTTTCGTGTTGTTAGCTTCTTTCCAGATTGCTTGACCGAGCGTTTAAAGGTGTATACACCTCAGAATGCCTGCGATAGGTCAACACTAAATCCTCCCCCTCACCCGCTTTTTCCTCTTTTTTTAACCACGGGCTCTAAATATGGTTGGATAAACTTTGTCATACGACAGTGAAGCATTCGTGTCAACGCGGATGTTGCTGCCTATGCTGATGATGGGGAGATGGCTTGAACAGCAATTTGACCAACTCCTTTAATTGTGGCCCTTAGTAACGACCAAAGTCGCCTTCGATTCGGCTCATCGTTGAGCGGTATGGCCGTCAAAGTCGAGCCGTGATGTTCCAAGTAATATCCTTCGCCTGTCTGAAGCACTGTGCATAAAGCGTAACATCGAATTTCCCTCCTTCGATTCTCTTTAACCTTGTCATCGACGTGGCCACAGAAGCATCCCTGCCAGCTTCCAATTCTTGCGGACTCGAAGTGCACTCAGGATATGTGCTCATAGAAACTGAATACGCAGATGATGTGGGTCTTTGTCAGTTGGCTCCGATGTGAATGTGGACACTAGAACGAAAGTAGAATTCACCACTCTATTATGACTAATCGTGGACAGCCTTAACAGCAGCACACTTCAGTAATGAGCGGACAACAGCATTTTTTGCATCTTCCGATAGACTTTCAGGCCCTATTAGAATACATCAAAGAGACTAATTGGTTGGATTCAGTCCATATACAGAATTTCATGCCAAAATGTACATTTTTACATTTCCATACAATCGTTAGTAGAGAAAATTGGAACGAATCAAACAACGTGAAATTATTTACTGTAGGTTTTCACCCAATCAGAAGTTACATCCATTAGGCGCAGCCAAGCTCGGAAGGTGGACCAGTGTGTGACGATGACCGTGAAACTCACGCGCAACGTATGATTCAGGCAGCTATTATGTATGGATCTGTTGCACCAGTCTCAATCTTCGTAGATTGTATTTCCCATCTGCGTTAGTGCCTAGGAACTTCCTATCCGCACAGTTAGGGTGAGACCGTCATAGCTGTTTCTAGCATTCGCGTGAAAAGTAGCAAGACTGCTTATTGGTTCTGGGAACCATCATCTACCTGTCTATGATATAATAGTAAACAGGCTATCTCAGACCAGTTCTGGTCCGTGTGGACTTCGTGCAGCTCAAAAGCGTATGGTTATCCTACCGGTGTCACAACTTACTAAGAGTATATTTGGAACAAAGTTTTCTCCACTTGGTCACTAGTTTTCGCGCGGAATAAATTCTCCGGATGGTACATTTGACTTGGTCGAGTTCTCTGGTATTCTGTTAATAGATCTTATGCAATGAATCCATCCGTCCAGGCAGCCGTCATTGCAAAATCGTACATAATTTTGTCCACATTTCTGTTCGCTTCACTTGTGTGTCGTATCTTCAGTTTAATTTGCTGTACAAAGGTCGCTTCATGTTTCAATTGAACGAAGGCGGTTGTGGACTGTCGGATGGTTCACAGCAGTCTCAACGTGGCCTCTCTTGGGAAGGATTCTTGTGGAGATTGTGGCTATTAACCTTCAGAAGATGCAACACGAAATGAGAGGGCCATGTTGTCGGACATGGGTAGCTGGGGCTGGGTCGGCCACAAATCTTAAGGTTCGCTGATTTGCGATAGTAGTATTGATATCCCGTAGTAGCAAATTTTGGCCTGCGGCAGAGTTCTCACAGGTTTTGGCAGGTTTTCCTCAATCTAGTCTTATGGCATCATGTTGCTGTTCCTCCTGGATTAGGCTGAACTGATGATGTTTATATTTACTAATTTGTTAACCCTCCATGAATGAAAGCATTGTCACATCAGGCTACATGAGGCACATGTACCTTAGTTTCTACGTGGTTTGGTTTACTACGCATTCAAATGTCGAATTGGTAATGGATAATGATGTCGTCGTTGACATTCTCAGGAGGCTAAATCATTGTGGGCACACAAAGTGACCCATGTTCTCGCTCTGCATGTTTGATACCGATGCGATGAAAAAATTGAAAACACTAGTCGTCAGTGAATATATGGTTAGTAAGAGACTGTGTATTCTCTCACTGCATGCATTGAGCGAATATCTCGCTTGCATAACCTCATGACTAACGGCGGGGTCTTCCATCTGCTTGGAGAGGTTGAATGAATGTACGGCGAAGAATTTGAGGCGGAATTTTTTTGTCTGGCCAAATTTTTAGTAATTCTAACTTGGTGGCAACTAGGACCTTCGTTTCAACGAAGATTTAGTTAGTTGAGTTTACTTTAGTTAGTACCGGCGATATTGGGTGTACCTGGTTTGATTCAACGCTTCCCCTTAAACAATAGTCGCCTTTCGGCCTATCGAATTTGAAGCGTTCACCTGAATAAACTTATTGCAGCTAACTCGGAAGCCGTGAGGAAGTGGCTGTAAATTTCTACTCAAAAGCAAAACGGTGTACAACAGTTCAGTTCGGTGAAACTGAAACGATCGTTTCCGTCGTAAACTGAAATGCGCCGTTTGCAAGCATGGTTCCGTACAACAGCTGCATCAGCCTTTCTAATGCGAGTCTAGGAGCGTCGATTACGTTGGCGCTGGTTATGGGCACAATCTATTCTGATGCGAACCCAGTTTACACCAGCTTATTTCTATCTTTCCGTTCCTGATTCCATCGCCCAGAAACCCAAAAATGGTACTGTCCTTAGGGTTGATTTAAATGAGGCTACCATTGGTAGCACCCGGAAGTCGTGTAAAAACGGGAACTCAACCTACGATGGCGAAACTCTCTCCCTAGTGTCTTTTCTCTGGTTCTTCTATGCATTCGTTATCATGTGTGTTTCAACCATATTCATTGGACCGCATAAAAAGGATGTTGCGAATGTTTTGTTGCAAGTTTCAGCACTCGTTATACGTTATTAAAGACGAGATCTACTCCTGAACTTAATCTCTTATTGAAAAAAATAGTTTTATGAAATGCAGCACTATTTTTTGAACCCAAATCGTGTACTGTAGAACATTTCAATTTTCCCATGTTCAGTACCCTGCAACACATTGTAGACACGTTTTATGCGTTTGTGGTTGATTTCTGTGCATATTGCCAGTAGCGATAGTCAATCTTTCGCCTTGTGAATTTTCAGCTGTGTGAGCTGATGGGATGGGATTATGTGGACCTGGTGTTTTCGCTGTTACATGAACGTTCCACATGGGTTTCTGCGCTTGAGGAACATAACGGTGAGCATATGTTTAAGCTTGATGATAACTTTCTTACCAGTGTGGGACCATCTTGATTGTCAAGTGGCATTGAGTCATCTTCTGCGGGTTAATTACGTTCTTGATCTTACCGTCTTACTAAGCCAATGAAATAAGTGAATACCATGCCTTCTTGCTTACTAATGCAGATTTGGCATACCCCACCAGATCCACATCAACTTTATTGAACACTTTGTCTTCAGCGTGAAATTATAAGGTCTTAGTATCAGTAGACCTTGTGGAAGAAACACAACCGTGCAACAAAGAAAGGCACAGTGTCATTTGTCAGAATGTCACTATAAGTCTCCTTCCTCGATACGCTTCTCGCTTCGTGTTCTGTGCTTGCAACGGCTACATAAGACGGCTCAAAGTAGCCCAAAACTGAAGGCGCGAACTTCCCGACCGGTAGATTCGTGGTTCGAAACCTACCTCCACACCTTGGCTGCTCTAGGCTCTAGGCTTGAGCCCTCGCGCTTTCTTAAGTTAATATAACGGCCAGGCACCGCAAGACTGAAACGCATAACATTTTATTCAAGAGGTGACACTGTAAGTTGTGGAACACAATGTTATCTCGGAACCTACCTCCACACCTTGGCTGCTCTAGGCTCTAGGCTTGAGCCCTCGCGCTTTCTTAAGTTAATATAACGGCCAGGCACCGCAAGACTGAAACGCATAACATTTTATCCAAGAGGTGACACTGTAAGTTGTGGAACACAATGTGTATCTCGGAAATTCCGGTGGTACTGACACCAGCGTCACAACAATGTCAACGAACGAATCTCAGAAGCCAGGATTACGTTCGCCAAGTTGCATCCATTGAGGCGTCAAAAAGCCATATCACTTGGTCTCAGAAGACACGTGCATAAGACTGAAGGAGGGTTTGTATTGTTGTACGGCTGCAAAACTTGACCACTTAGGGCGGAGGACATAGGACTTCTTCAAGTGTTTGACCACCGATGTCTTAGAACTATAGCCTGAATCGACTGAAATCGAGAGGGAGATTGCGGCTAGTTTTTCTAAGAACCCCCAGTCAAGCTAGAAATGAGTGAGCTATGTTCAGCTGATGGTAACGTCACGAGTTTTGAACGCGCAACCCGGCAATTTTGGCAGATATCTACCTGGGTTGGGACAATTCTTGTCGATGGTGATACCGTGATAGAGCAACATCTCAGTCTGCTTCCGGTTTTTTACATTCCGGTTATGGTATCTATCTCTGGGAGGCAGGATAAAGCTAATCAAATGAACTGAGCGATGCTGAAATTCATGACGGCAGTGGGAGCGTGACGTTTACTCGTCATTTGCCATGAATACCGAGTTATGGTTGTGGGGAGTCTGGGTGGCTCCTCTGATGGAAGCCCCTGGTTGCGGCTAATTATGACGTACAATACTCAAAATACCCATACTCAAATACTCTGAAAGGAAATATTTAAATTAAACTTCTTAATCATTAGTTGCCGATCCCAGTTCCGTTACTTCTGTGATGCATATCGCTTATCTTTTCAAACAGGGACAAACCAGTTATATAATCCTGCTTGGCATTTCAGGATAAGCTAACCTAATTTTCTACAAGTTCTAACTTGAATATCAGAGCCTTTTGATTTCGATCAATGCAGGGAAGAGTTTCATCGACGGCTTCTTTGACAATTTTTTTATCGCCCCGTTTCGCTTTCATTATCAGCACTCATGAAACACAAGGGACCTGCGAACACCTCCGTAAGTTCGTGGCTTCAACTGTCTATTTTGTTTCCTGTTCCTTTTAATTAAGTGGTTTTTGTGGGGTAGCCTCATGACATCCATTTTCCTCTTCTTCTGATTAGAAGTGTAGGTTTCTCTCTCATTTTCTGAGCCTCATCCAACAACATCTTTGTCCATTACTCTTCGAATTGTCAGGAGTTGATAGCTTTGTGATTATAACCTGTTCGACTTGGCTGTACCGATTTTTGGCAGCTGTATATCAATTTTTTCATGTTACACAACGGACCATTTTTCACTTGCCCTATAGCACTTCGATAACTCCGTGTTTTTCCTTTCTCGTTTATGAATTGGGTTGAATTTGGTTTTGAAGGATAAAAAGCCGACTTTTTACCACTAGTCTCTTTTGTACAGGTGTCAGACGAACGGAGCGGTGAAAGTTTTGTGAATCGTTTAATTAATGATCCCGCAAGTGTTGCCCAATCAAGGGCTGCAAAGATGGATGCTAATTCTCGGGATACAGCAAATCGCCTTAGACGGGCAATGGAGAGTGGTCCATCAGTGTCTACGCGGGTTGCGGATTACATACGCTCGTTGCCATATGTCTATGATTTATCCGCAGAAACACGTGATACCCTGAATCTCTCAGGAAGTTTCAAAGTAAGCATTCTTATTATCTCTACTTTGTCTTTTGTGTTTATAGGCTTGAATTGATTGTACTACTCAAATTCTTTTCCAGTAGGAAGATCCAATGTTGAATTGGAATGCGCAAAGCAGCCGCATGAAAATAGCAAACAGACCAGAGATTACGGGAAAGGGATGCGTGATTCCTCGAAATTGAACAGTTTGAGCTTGACGCACTTTACGAGCACAGGTTTTCGCACGGGTAACATGCATTAACAACAGTTTGATTTTACCCCTTAAATATAAGACAGAAGAGCTACCTGTTTCACTGAGGCTACACTGCTCAACGTTTTTAGTCGGGGACATCTGTTCCCCAAGCGGTGCTTGCGGGCAGCAAACTTGTTGAGTGCAAATCGTGAAAGTGAATCAGTTTTTAATTTGATTGACATAACTTATTCAGTTAATCTTAGCCAAAGTAAAAGTTTACTCAACTCCTGAGTTTAACCTATCCCCGACAAGGATGGAATATTTGTACAGTGTATGGTATAGGCCTTCCGGCACTTATAGAATTCCTTGGCAAAGTGAAATAGAAATTTGCATCTTCAAACTATTCCAAATCTCCATGGAATAATTTACTGGCCAATATACGACCGAAGCCTGCTCAATCTGATCGGCAATAGTAAAGCAGGATAACCACACAACAATGCGCACCCTAATGATGGTCCATTGTGAGTTTGTCGTAAGCCAGTTGTTTCCAGATTCAATTGTCGCCGGACCGATTTCCCGCCGTTTTTAATAAGATTTCATTAGAATGCAAAATTCAGTTTACTGAAATACAGGAAAGTCTAATCGGAAGGGGCCACACATTGGTATTTGTACTTGCCACTCGGTAGCGAAGCTACGCGCAGCTGACCGCATAGACACCGGAGTGGCAAATTGAGGGGGCAGACCATCATGAACGACCGTAACTAGCATGCAGTTCGATAGCCTAGCATCGATTTACGTCATGCTGTCGATGATGATGATAATGATGATGATGGTCATTGCTATCGATGACACTTCTGCCACTGTCGGGATTCATTCGCTATTTTTGTCGCTGACACTACTTGACAGTTTCATTTTTAACTCTTGTACAGAATAGGGGAAGAGTCCATCCAGACTGTCCCCGTCTCTGATGCTTGTGGTAGGCTATCAATAAGTCTTCTTCCCATCTTCCTTTTGTGGAGCCTGGTTTTAGTATATTATTAATTATAAAGCCAGGAGGCACCAATGTTCTACACTGCAGTTGATCAGTTTGGCTAGCACTACACCCACTGCTGACTCACCTTACATAAACGCCAGTGGCTAGTGCTATTCCTTGTTGTCCCGCAGCAGATTGTTCTGAGGATTAATCAGTTGGGGGCCTGCGGCAAACTAACGTACCAATGGTTGACCGCGGTAAGCTAATCGCCCGCAGCAACGAACAAGGATCATACTTCACTCAGGTACAGTTTTTCGCTTTCCCCGATTAGGCGAATCCTGTAGCAGGGGTCAAGCGGTGACCGAACATGGTTTAAATTTTGTGAAAACTGGCCGACGCTCAAACCTAGGGATCACAATCACTGACTTCTGGATACACCTTGCTGGTTTTTCCACAGCTTCGACTTCCTGTTGGCACGGACTTCAAACAATTTCCCTTGTGGGATCATGTCAAGTTCCCCGTGCCGTCCAAGCCACCTTCCTCAGTTTTGGATGCACCGCTTGTCAAAATTTCCTCCTTGGATCCGGTGAGCTTCGACTCCAATAGTCATAAGCTGATACTTTCAGTTGGTAATGTGGTATCATTTGTTGCGTTTTGCCTGTGGAATTGTGTTTAAAAATCAGTTGAGCTCCTCGTTCTTTGTAACACCAACATGTTACTTCGGAGTGCTGGTGCCATATGAATTTTAGTAGCGTGAATTTTTAACGTTTTACTGTCGTACTATGGTCTTGTTGAGAGTTTATTTTCACAGTTGTTCCGTGATGCTCGAAACTACCTACGGGGCCATCATTTTTTCACGAGTTTGTGCCGAACATAACCCTCTGAGTTATTCGATGGATATGATCAGACGAGTGGTTTCCAGTAAAAATATTAAACTAAAATTAATAAAAATACGAGAGGTCGAGAACAATGCTACATGTACTATCTTGTGCTAAGGCCGTGGTCTCAAAGCAAGGAATTGGTTAATCAGCCTAAACGCACGACCTAGATGTCCTATCTGACAGGTAACGTGTAGTCTAATTCAACGACGGACGGTCAGTAATAATTGCGTTTATGATGTTCTCAGGCAACTGAATGTGCTGCACAAGGCCGCCTCATGTTTCAGTCGCTACGATATTTGAAATATTGCGATACATGTATATTCGTAATGTACTACTACTCATAAGGTTGCTGAAAATCCGTCGACAGCCCACGACCGGTTTCGTCCTTGTTGGGGCTCATCAGGTAGGCGCAGTCCCCGGGTTTCCGTCAACCTTATGTCCTACTTGAAACCAAATTGCACGAAATTAGCGAATATACACTCATCTGCAAGCTAATTTGGTTCTTTCGAGAGACTCACCTGGAACTCAGCTGAATCTCTCGTTTATGGTGTTCTCAGGGGAGAACATCTGTTCGCCTAATTAATGGTATTAACAGATATTTCTTGCTTGCCTCTCACCCGTAAGGAGCATTGTCGTTTATGAGAAGTATTCGAAGCCTTAGAAATATCCCTTATCGTCAGCTTTGCTTCTGTGAGAGTTTTCTTGGCGGAACGTTGTGCTTGCCATTACAGGACAACCGTGATGTAGCCACTAGACCGTCTTCGGGTCCGAAGATTATCTCTTGGTGTGCTGTGCTTGTACATACGATTTGAATATCGGTAGAATTGACTGTCCTTTTTTCGCTTGAAATTCGGTTTACTTTTCAAGGAACCTGGTGACGTGCGCCAAACCATCTAGCGGTAGCGTTCCTCCCGATGGATAGTTTTTGATACTGTGTGTAACTGCCCCATGTGCGCCTTCAAGCATATTTTGATACTTCCTTTTTTGTTTATTTGGTAAATAAATTTTGGATTATCATCCATATAGGAATTGTGGTAACTAACTGGTGTTTTCCCGTACTGATAACTTGATTTTATGGATTACAGATTGGTCAGCGCATATTTGAAGGTATGGAACAACTGAATCTAATCCAGTCCATCGTCTACCCGGTGGCCTACAATACACCCCAAAATCTGTTGGTTTCTGCTCCAACTGGCGCTGGTAAAACTAACGTCGCTCTTTTGACCATAGCACAACTTCTTCGATCGCATTTGACAGCTGATTCCGTACTGGATCTGAAGGCATTCAAGGTTTGCTGAAGTGTTCACAGTTCATCTAGCCTAACTGATATATGACTGCAACCATTAGAAGCTTGCCCGACTATGACCTTGCGACAGTGAATTTTTTGTACCTTTCCCTTACAGATAGTCTACTTAGCTCCAATGAAGGCACTCGCCGCCGAAATCACAGCCACGTTCTCCAAACGTCTGGCGCCCCTAGGGCTGAAAGTGCGCGAATGCACTGGAGATATGCAGCTCACCAAACAGGAAATTATGGAAACTCAGGTACTTGTATTTGCAGGTCTAACTCGTTTTCTGATCGCTATCAGGTTTCGTATCTGTATTTTCAGTGAAGGTTTATTTCATCGGTTTTGAACTGTCATCGTTTATTTGGAAACTGACAAATCAGTGTCTGATACTGATCAGGGGCTCTACGATAACCGTAAAATGCAGCAGTGACTTGTAAGCATGGGTACCTTTGTTCACGAATTCTGTTCAGAAACTGAGTGCTCGCAGGAATTGTATAGGTGCTAATATTAAGTAGTCAAACTGCTACCGGGCTACATGTGTGCGCATGACACGCCTGCATTTGCTTTTTTATTGTCACCGAATGGAACATTTTGTCTGTGCTCAGTGTTATTGTTAGACGAAGAGCCACTTGTTCAGCCAGTCAGCCGATTGATATACCACTAAAGTCCTTTCGATGCTACTCTGTTCTGGTGCTTGAGTCCTTATTTGACAGTCCCACCGACATCATACGTCGTCTATATACGACCGGATTTCCTTGACAAACATGCTACTCACAAGTTTGCTGAAAACTCAACCCAAAACCGGTTTTGCCGCTTTTTGTGTCTTGTCAGCTAGACTCAGTCTTTGAGTCTGTTCTACTCCAACCCAGACTACATAATTTTCAAAATACACTGATTTTCAAGCTAAACTGAAAGCTATCATGAACGAGTAACTCAGCTGGGTTTCAGTTGAGTTTCTCTTCAAGACCAAATTATTGGGTGTACTTCACGAATCGTATGTAATTTGGACTTAAGTAAAACGTAAAATGGACTAGAGGAAAACCCGAAGAGTGCACTTACCTAACGAGCCCGAAGAAGGACGAAACTGGTCTAATATTTTAGAAGAGGATCCTTCATTGTAACTTTGGTAAAACAGTTGAAGTCTAGGCATGTTGATGATGACATTGAGTTCATCCGATCAGCTGACGGCTCTCTTGACTTCAGTTTGCAACTGCAAATATGCCCCAGGTGCGTGGGATCTACACCTGAGTTGTTGTCAACGTGTTTATATTGGATCAAGGAACCAGGAGTGAGCACGTCCGTTACATGCAAACAGAAAAGCTTAAAAATGCGCCCCGATCGGCGCCGCTGTTTGAGTGTAGTGGACGTTCACGCTTGTTTGGCGTATACGGTATGTGTTTACTGGCCGCGTTGGTAAGAAGCTGCTGCGGAAGATGGGCAGCAGGCATATGAATTAGGCTTTTCCATTTATTGGTGGAGTGATTGAGTGGGAAGCAGCGTCAGACTTTGAGTGAGACTAACGATGGGCTATTTGGTGTAAATATTGCTCGAAGGGGGTAACTTCTTCTGGAAGTCCAGAAGAAAAACAGTGGTATAGATTATTAGTTTTGTTGCTCGTTCCCGCGGCATATGTTCTTTCCCGTAGAAAAAAACAAGGATTTCGAGTGATCTGGCTGTTTTGAACAGGCGTTTATGTGAGACTCAGCTGGATCTGTCGTTCATGACACTGTTTAGCTGATTGTGTCCCACGACTGATTCCATGTTCCAGTTGCGACCATACTCCAGAAATGGGAGTATCTTTGTTGATACAACCACTTATAATGCTGATAAAAATCCTGAACAGCTTATTATCGGTGGTCGTTGTGCCGTACATTCTGTTAAGGAATTCTAGTTCCACCTTTTGAGAGCACTATCTTGGTTTGCAAATTACTGTATGACTACGTATACGTTCATTTCGGTGTTCAATTTCTAAACAAATTCCCTCTATTAAGAATAATGGATGAGAAAAATATAGGTCAGTGAGATTGCATCATTTGTGACGAGCTACTTTAGAGTGATTGTAAAGGAAAAAGTGTTTTATTCGCATGGCTATTGCTTATACGAAGAATTCACATCACCAGAATAGTCTAGAGGACTGCAGGTGTCTCTCAAAAAGTGACACTTGTTTGGATGTCTCTCACAAATAGACGCACTGCACAAACGGTCCAGTCTACAACTGGACGCATATAGGGGTATGCGTAGAGTGAAGCTGGTTAAAAATTGATTGTAAGGCCAAGACTGATGACTACTTGATCGATAACTTTGGAGGGTTTGATGGCCTCCTTGATGGAAGCATTGGCTGTGCCACTAGGTTTGAGTCTCAACATCATATTATGTTGCGCTTTACAAAGTTACATTCTTTTTCCAAACCCCCATCAACCGATACTTCAGCGTTTATCTTTCATTAGATGATGGTTCTTCGCGTACTCGATACGGGACTTGATGATTCCGGTTGGAGCATTTCTCTTCGTCTTATGTTGGTCGCTCTTAGTTGTTTTTGTGCAACGTCGATGTAGTCTCGCTTTGGTTCCATTTATTCGCAAATCCATGTTTCCCAACAATTCCGTATTGCTTCATAGGATCGAGTTTTCTATCTCGAACTTGCTTCATCATTTTAGATACTAATCAGCACTCCAGAGAAATGGGATGTAATTTCCCGCAAGGGTTCTGGTGATGCAACTCTAGTCAAACTAGTCAAGCTCTTGATTATCGATGAAATACATCTATTACACGAGGATCGCGGGGCGGTCATCGAAGTTCTGGTTGCCCGGACGTTGAGACAAGTATGTGACTTTTTCTCGATTGTTCTGCTGTGACCCGCTCAGTATTGAGAAGTTTCTATTTGGCACATTCAAGACGTGTGAACTGTTGACAGCATGAGTATGCGTGTTTTCGGCTACTTATTGTACCCATGATCTCGTGCATTTAATACTGTGTGAAATTGCTAGCCAGAAAGTCACGTATCTAAGCTTTCTATGTCTAATCAATTAGTCTAAATAAGACCGAAAAGATTATTTACTATGATTTTCCGTCACTTTGTTACCTATTTACAGCGATAAATAGTGTAAAGTGGGAACAGTACCAATTACGAATATCGCTGTTGTTATAAAAGTAGACTGCAATTTGATTACTCTTGAAATGAAAAGTTTAACTGCATGCACAATGGAAGAAAGGACGGAACTCGGGGTGGACCCGAACCCCCGACCTCCCTCCCCACAGCAATTTCTACCGCGTTATGGGACTCACTACTGACGCTGACACATATCAACTTTTACTCCAGTACTCTGAATTGTCACTACTGACGCTGACACATATCAACTTTCAATCCAGTACGACAAATCAGGTTCATAAGCGTGACAGAGCGAGGGGTCCCCGGTTGCTTAGGCGGTAGAGCACTCGTTTGGCATTCGGCACACGAAGGATTGGCGGTTCCAGTCAGTCCCCCGGTATACCTTATCGTTCATACAACTTGTATTCTGAGTTCTTATCTCAGTGTCCGTTTATCCCCTAGTTTTTTCGCTTTTATCCTCTACTGTGACTCGCCGCGCTGTCTATGCATGCAGCACCCATTCTCCCTCCTTTAACTTTACCACTCTATTTGCAGGTGCTTTAAAAGCCCTCTTTCCCCGCCCTTCCTATCCTTATGTTCATCCAATACACTCATGCCTGCATTGATATCCCTCTTATAAGATGCGACTGCAGCTCTGTGATATCGAAATCCTGCAGCTGTTAATGTTGCTGTTTTGAATCAAGTAGCGTTATCATGTGGTTGCAGCATTTGCGGAGGATAAAAAAGCAATGCAGATTTATGTTGCGATGGCATTCGCCTTCATTTTACAGCTGCAAATCACTTCACAAGTTTAATTCATTGTCCGTCAGACACACTAAATTCGAGCCATTCCGCCGACTTTGTTCAACAGGTCGAAACTTCACAAACCATGATCCGCTTGGTTGGTCTATCTGCAACCCTGCCCAACTATCTGGACGTGGCCCATTTCTTACACGTCGATCCGTACTGCGGTCTGTTTTACTTTGACGAGCGATTTCGCCCGGTCCCACTGCGCATGTCTTTCATTGGAGTGCGCGGTTCTGTTCGCAAAACACAAGAAATCAACATGAATACGGCCTGCTACGAGTCCGTACTGGAACAGCTGCGAGAAGGACACCAAGTCAGTGAATCCCTCTGTCTGAATCGCTGTTGTCCACTTTGTTGAGTGACTCGTTTTCATGGTCGTAATGTTGGTTTGGTACTTTTGGCCATTCCGTTTTAGGTGATGGTCTTTGTACATGCTCGGGGCGATACGTTCAGAACGGCTCGTTGGCTTCGAGATCAGGCGCGGCAGCTGCAACAGATTCACTACTTCTCCACGAAAACAGACATTCCCCCTGGGTTATTAAAGCGGGTATGTGAATATATTTAGACTTTACGTACTCCCACCACTTGTGATTCTTCATGCCTACATTTTCGTAACTATCTTCGGTCTCGCTTTCATTGTTTATTCATGGAAAGTGCTTTTTTGGCTTTCAAACGTCTTGCACTCCAAAACATGCCGTAAGAAAATCCGGTACCAAACATGCATTCTGTGAATTCCCTTATGTTTTTAATGGTGTGGAACTTTCAAAATGTTTAGTTGGGTTTCAGTTACATGCCCTGACAAACCCGAAAGATTTGTTTAGTTGACCTGTGGATCACGCGTGCGTTTTTCGTTCAGCCTCAAATTGGGTGTCCAGTCTAGTTGTTCAAATCTAGACCGGATGTTTGCTACTGTTAATGTGAAGAACTAATTTTTGCCTAAATGAACTCACCGGGGAAGCATCATGTACGATTCTGTCTAGGTTCGGTCAACTTACTGGACAATGAATCGGTCATTCTAGCGGAGCTCAACGATAAAAACTGCAATCATTGTTGTAGTCGCCTTCGGCTGAACTCGACTTTGAACTCGATGTGGTCGTGAAAAAAACCCGTTTGGAAAGATTACCGATACCTCTATTATTTTGGGTCAGCCGTTGTCACGATAGATAAATTGCGTTCATGCAAACGATTCTCAAAATCTTCAATTGAGATTTTGTCCTGTAAGTGAGCAAATGTGTGCTCAAAAGCCGAAAAGCACTGTGTAGTTTCGTCATCCTTATTGAGAATCGTCAACGGTGCGCATCTTGCGAGACTTCGGGGGAGGGGGGGAGGTTAGATCGGCCGACCTCCCCGCCAGTAGCGTGAACGCTGTTGATCAGCATGGTGGTTAATTCGCACTTAGACAGGTGTCACTCGCTTTATGTTCTATTCTTTATTTACCACAGATTGAGCGGTCGGGTGACACGGCTCTTCGAGAAATGATTCCGGACGGATTTGCATGCCATCATGCTGGCATGCTTCGCGCGGACCGCTCCCTTGTAGAGCGTATGTTTTCCGAAGGACACATTCGTGTACTGGTATGCACAGCGACTTTGGCCTGGGGTGTGAACCTGCCTGCGCACGCTGTAATAATCAAAGGCACACGTGTTTACAAGGCTGAAAAATCAGACTTCACAGATTTGGACGTGTTGGACGTGCTTCAGGCAAGAACTTTTTAACATTCACTCGCCTCAAAATCGGTTCAATTTCATGTCAGACAGAACTCACTCTCGTATCTAAGCACCATCTGTACTGATTTGCTACAATAACTTACAGCCGTGGGTAGCTGTCAAGCTGCGCACCCCATTTGAAGTTGTCACTACCAGTGGGGTGATTCGGTATATAGATTAGAATTTTCTGAGCGAGATAGCCCAAGTGGTTAGAGCGCGAATTTACTGACTGGAAGGTCTGTGGTTCGAACTCGACCTCTGCCTCTCGACTTCCCCTGTCTAGGCTTGGGCAACCTGGCAATATCCTAGCCCTCGTGCAACCTTCGGGTGGCATAGCAGTTAGGCCACAGCTAAACGATTTTTTGGACCACGTGTTGGATCAGTGTCCGGGTTACAGAATCCTGATGTAGTTACACACAAGAACACAGTCGTGTGCTGTCCTTGAACGACTCCTTTTCCTCTCGGTTAACACTTTGCTGCAAACGTATGTTCATCGCCTTGTCCAACCTGTTACCTATACCCACTACCGTAAGCGTGAACCCAAACGCCAGTAACCTTCATTTTCAGCTCATGAGTATACAAGTAATCAGCTGCGTTTACAAAATATCCATCGGACATTTTCAGTAAATTAGAGTCTTTCTGAAGTTGGATTCATTTGCTGGTTATATTACTCGCCATTATCATTTTTCGTTTCACTAAGATTTTCGGTCGTGCTGGCAGACCACAATTCGACACCTTGGGGGAAGCCCTCATCATTACTTCCATGGATAAATTAGACCACTATCTTCGTGTGATTACCAATCAGCATGCGATTGAAAGCACCTTGCTGCTTAATCTACAGGACCATCTGAATGCGGAGGTAAGATATACTAACTGCGTTTTTACTGATGAGTACTGTGAAAATAATTCTGGCCCTCAATTTGCTTGTTTCTATCTTTTGTATCTTCGTTTCGCATACAGATTGCACTGGGGACCATATCTAATATTGATGATGCGATTAACTGGTTGAAATACACTTACCTGTTCGTCCGTTTGACGGCAAACCCGATGCATTATGGAGTTCCGGCTAGCTCAGTAGAGGTACGTTTTTCCCATCCATTGTTTCACTTCTTTTGTCTTACCAGGACGACATTCAGTAAACAGTTCACACACACTCACCTGTATATACTTCCTGGTTGTTTAGCTGTGCTTCTTCGAGTGCTAAGTGTATGTAAAGCTCCTTAATCGGCCCAGCTGTGGGCCAAAATGTTGCCACATACTGACGACTGTCTAACGCAGCCCTGTCGCGGTACAACCGATGACTGTCGCACTACCAATGTTCCTATGCATTCCGTGAGGTCAATTCTTTTCATAAAACTCGTCGGAGTGTTGGCATTATTCTAACATTTTGCAGTATAACAGAACCTCCTTACAGTGCTTATTGGTACCACTTATCTGAAGGGTAATCCTGGAGGAGTGGACGCCATAAAAGCCGTTGTCACCCAGTACTCGTCCGTGAACTTGCGTCTACCTGAATCTGCTTAATTTAATAAACTTGGCACTATCACCACAGCCCAGTTCATCCGCGTGCGGCGGAACTGTCAAACTTATCAGCACCCTTGTGCCAAGGTGAGGATGGAATGGACATTCCTTCCTTACTTTGTCGAGAGGAACAGTAAGATGGTGATTGGAGGACTGATTCGCCCCAGGATTTGCTACCAGGAGTGGAGATTCGTTCATGATTATTCATGCTGAGATTTCGATAAAGTCGGAGATACTGAACAAGGGTATGGGGAGACATGCTTAGGGGAATCTCACTGCATTATTGGACACACGACAGTTGAGCACGGGCTTTGTATGGTGTATTTTATACTGGACTCTAGTTTCTACTGACGATGGCTGGTGCGTTTCTCACCAGAAAATGGACGGGTTTGAACCCTAACTGAGTAACCGGAACGCCCAAATCGATTCATGTGACCGCATCGTACGCTTATTGCTTTTGTGAGTGGATCCACATATGACCATGATAAAGATCCAATTTTTCGACTGTCTTTCGATCTACTGATTTTTATGTTTGCTTACAAATTGCCTCCATCACTGTTCTCTCATTTGGTCCCCCTTACTTGTCCTGAAGAATGACCCAGTTCTTGTTGACTATTTGGATCGGGCTGTGCGTGCTAGTGCTCTGTCGCTAGATGAAGCCGAAATGATTCGTTATGAACCTGGTACGGGTCAGCTGGCTTCCACTGATCGCGGGCGCACTGCTAGTCTATTCTACATTCGGTTCAGCACTGCAGCCAAGGTCCGTGATTTGCTTGAACCAAACATGATGGTAGCCCAGCTGTTCTCATTGCTTAGCGAAGCTTCAGAATTTGGTGCCATGAAGGTGAGTGTTTAACCCATTTTTCATGTTTTTCTCCTTTGATTGTTGGAAAAAAATTGTTGGGTAGAGTCCTGAAAAGATTTCTGTAGCAAGTAACTAGCTAACCCTGCAGCTGCCGAGTACAGATCACAGGGCAAACCACAATCGTTTGCAACAATTTGACCCGCAGCCGTGACTTTTGGGTCGAAACTATGAAACTATGCCTTTCTACGATAAATATCCAGCTATTTTGAGCGCCTAACCAACGCGAGGTTCTCTGTCCTTGTTGGGTCTCATTAGATGGCACGGAGATCCCTTCTAAATACTGATTACGAAATCCATAGCTAACTAATTTGAGCTTGGTGTGAGTCTTGGCTGAACCAGTTGTTCATTTAGTCAGACAGCTTAGCTACCTGTGAAATTCAGTCCGTTTCATATGGATACCTATTGGTCCTCCTGTAGGATGGAATGCCGTTGGTTGCGCATCTTTTTGGGATCAGGATACACCTTCATCAAGCCTTCGGCCTGTCAATTATTAGATCAGCTTCCCGAAAGGAAAGGCACAGTTCAGAGTGAACAATATAAAAATTCACTAGTCAACCGTTTGTTTCCGTAGGTTTTATTATCTATCCACGCAAATTCATAAATATCCGATAAAAATAGGAATAAATCGTGATATGATCCCAACGTTATATTGCCCTTACGCTCTTCAGGGTTGGTAGAACGCCTTTGTTCGTGAGAACCTTAAGACATCTTCGTATTTATGGTGACCTATTGGGGTTTCTTAGAGGAGCTTGATCACGGAAAAAGATTCCATAACTAAGGTTCGACCGTCTTCTCTGTAGGTAACAAATTTGTAACAAATATATGTGAAATTTTCTGGACCGGCAGCACACACCACGGTTGATATTTTGTGATTCGATGACTGGTAAAGACAAGTTAGCTAACTGTTCTCGAGCGATCGAGTTGGTTACTGAGGTCTATAACATTGTGAAAGTATAGAAAATGTGGAGGACATAGAACCATCATCAGCGTCGGACAACGGTCGGTAAAACATTGCTGGTGGACGGACAGTTACCAGACCTACAGTAGGCATATATAGTTGGTAATCAGGGATTAAAAATAAAAGGAATAAAATGATGCAACATGCCTACAGTTTATATTTCTGCAGAACACAGCATTCTTGTAAAATATCCCCTAGTAATGTTTCGTTTTGACTTACGTAGTTTCGGGATCCTCACTGCATTCTCGGTATGATCGTTTATTGTATTTTGTTGTTTCTCAGGTGCGTGATGAGGAGGGAAGTGAGTTGAACGATTTGAAGGCCGCTGTTTGTCGCGTCCCGATCCAAAAAGCTGGAAATGTGGATTCGGATGTCCCAGCGAAAGTCAACGCACTGTTGCAAGGTTATATCAGTCGGCACAATCCTAGCTGTCATTCGCTTCAGTCTGATATGTTCTATATACATCAGAATGCCGGGAGACTTGTTCGTTATTTGTTCGAACTATCACTTCGTCAGGGCTGGTCGAACTGTGCGTACACAACTCTGCAGTTGGCTCGTGTAAGTCAGTTTGTACAGTTTCGGGCCGTATTTTCCCATGTTTTATGAGCACACTTATGGCATACGCGCTACTGTCCGTTTTTATAGATGATTGAACAACGCCAGTGGGATTGCCAAACACCTTTGTGGCAGTTTTCAGAGTCAACCTCCTTCCGACTACTTGAACGAGTGGATGAATTGGGACTATCACTGGATCGCCTACGCGAAACTGCTGTGGATGAGTTAAGTGAGTTTGGAGCTTACGTCGAGAACGATTCTACCACTAAGGTGCAACAAAATTCTGGCTGAGAACACTGGAGCTTCTGGTCAACTAAGGACGTAGGTTTAGCCTCACCGCAGGATTCAGCGGTGAAACGATAAACGGTAGATAAAAGTCGGAAATTAGCTGATTTTATCACATTGACTAAACAGCTATAAAGGTGTCACAACATACAACTCGGTTGTCAATGGTCATCGAGTGCATTTGTTGACAACTGTTCAGCATTAGATGATAAATTTTGTTCCAACCTTCATGACCACTCCACTCCATCATGAATTTTGAATTGATGAGGCCGGAAACTGACATATTTAACTGTTATTGGCATGAATTTATCATATATATATATATATATATATATATATCCGGGTGATATCAATGTTTTGCTCATTGTGTCTCCTTCAAGTGATACTCACCTACGAGCTATGCTGCGTGGATATGTGAGCCGTTGTATCAATCTTTTGGTTGCTTACCTACTTTTAGCCTAGTCTGAACTCGAGTCACATTCCTAACTACCTATGTATGACCTGGCCCCCATTCGGATTTACCGAGTGGATGTTACATGACAATTCAGTGCTGGAAATCGATATCCCTATTTCGTTTGTTTACCTTAACAAAGTACTGATTTAACCGTTCCAATGTCGTTTCACCAGTATCCAAAATTCGACTCTATTTCTCAGCATATACTCAGCTTAACGTCGTGTACGCTAGAAAGAATTATTGACGATGGCTGCGGACACTACTGGATACGTGAAACTAACTGGAACACGGCTTTTAGTCTTCCTATTGTTTGATTTAGTTCATAATATGCATGTGTTCTAACTCTTTTTTTCGCGGGATGTCTCTGATGCACGTCTTCTTTTCAGCTCATTTGCTGCGCTACCGTGGTAAGGAGGGTGCTCGTGAGGTCTCCACTTTGGCGGCTCTGGTGCCTCGGATTCAGGTGGCTGCCGAAACTCAACCTGTCACTCGGACCATTCTGCGTGTTCGTCTCACACTGCAACCGGACTTCACGTGGTCCGATCGTTCGCATGGAGTGCAGCAGAACTTCTGGATTTGGATTGAAGATCCTGCACAGGGCTTTATTTACCATTCAGAGTACTGGACATTGACAAAGCGAATGGTGAGTTTTGGTGACTACTGTCATGCCCTATCTCATATGATGTCACGTACGTGAATTTAGTATTTTTGTATTTTATGTACTGCTCCAGACGTCCTCTCAACATGGTGCTGTCGGATTTCATTCCACTGCTCTGTCTTTCTTCTTTTAAACTTTCAATCAGCCACTTTTTTCTGGTAAAGTACATGCGTTACTGCTGATGTCGAACTTTTGTGTGTACCCCGATACTTGACTCCAATGCATTCAGCACGGTATTCCCATCCTAAAGGGACATACAAGACGTTTGAAATTTGCAGCTTTCTGTCACACCAAGTTTGGCAAAGAGGAATAGGGATAGTTATGTCAGTTGGTCACTAGAGAGGCTGTTGAAATGTATGCCCCTGCACGTACGCGACTGTCAGGGAATTGTCATTACTTAGTCACTTCAAGACTTTGGCTTCGATGGTGCTTTTTGAAGCAGTTGTATTAGCGATCATGAATGTAAGAGAAACTTCGTGAGATCTGTCAGCTGAATTTTTTTTACTTGTATTTCGAAGTTGTGTAGCAGAATAAATTGCAAGTAATCGGAGAACATTTGCAAAATTTGCTAGGTAACAAAGATCCCTGCTCCAGCGGTTGTTTGGCGCACACTGTTGGAGTGAGCAGATGAGACTGAGTGAATATTTCGATGTGATCGAGCATTCACCTTGGACGATTATGTCTTGTGGATCGGATGTTGACACCTGACACAGTTGGTGATGTAGTACATCATTCCAAAGAAAATTTTTGTGCTAGAATAAACGCCTTTTTTCTGTTTCACCGGTATTGCCGTCCATTGTCTAACAATTGGTTTTCGGTTATTGCCTTTTGCGCGTGAAGTCTCGCGACAGATAGCAAAATACCATTCCCTTTTAGCTTGGACATTTTAAATCGTGCTGTCCTCGTAAAAACACGTTCACACAATTAGCTTAACTCGGGTCCGGGTGATTAACTCGTTTATGACTATGCAAAAATAGTGTGACCAGGAGAATGATATGCGACTGCACACAAATGTCCACAATGCACTAACAAGCGGCCACTGATGGGACAAGATCGATTGCTGCAAGTTAGTGACACCGAAGACGAGGACAATAGAAACAGGAAAAGATATCGATTTTTGTCGCAGGGTCAACCGTGCCATAATGAATAGTATTCAGAAAATTCGCTTTGTCTGCAGAAGCCGTATGAACTAAAATTTTATCAGATGCTATTTCTAGCAATATTTAATAGCCGACAGGACCGTACAAACTGGGAGAACAAGTCTTCTGGAATTAAATTTCCTGTAGCATTGTCTTTGCTAAAAAAGAAATCGAATTATATTCGTAATACACTACTCATGAGGTTACTGAAAATTCTTCGGTAGTTGACGAAATTAAATCCTAAAACCTAATGGTAAAAAAATCTGATGGAATAGAATATGGCACTTATTAGACCTTTCGTGTCACAATCTAAGGGACAGGAATAAATAATCTAATGCTATACTGTTATACCGTCTCACTTAGCTAAGAAAATCAGCAAATCTTTTCTTTGTCAGTAGTGTGAGGAGATTGGGGATTTTTTTGGAGACTTCGCCCTGTAATTGAAATCGGTCTATGCTGAAAAGCCGAGGAGCACTATATAGCAGTTTCATTTTTCATTGGGATTCATCAGCAGTACGAATCTCATGTGACTCTGGGGAGTTTCGGATAATCGTCGTACCGCCTATTAGTTGAAAACAGGACTGTTCGTATTGCCTTGCTGGTGTTCAGCCGCCACGATTGGTCGTTTGAGTTGTTGATGGAGTTTAATCAGCTGAGCAGTAAGAATAGGTTTTATACACCTAGTGAATGAATTTGCAGCATTTGCTCATATCCCTTCCCTCGTAACTAGGAATTACTGACGCACTTAACTTTTTGTCCTGAGGTGTTTCTTCTCTTTTCGAATTACGGAAATCGATAAACCGAAATTCCTTCCAACTTGATGACTGGTGGTCTCCGCAGTTAGTCACCAGGGAAGCTCGCTGATATGAGTCAACACAGTATGGCGTCACATCTCGCTGGAGTATGGGCTGTGTTGTGGTTCATAACGTGGCGTGAAAAGTGAACCTTTTCATAACCGGACAAAGTAGGTTGCTTCTCACTCAACTTAGTTCTGGAAAACGATGCGAAACCGTTGCTTATCTATGCTTGCAACCGAATCCCGCCCCTTACCGTTTCACTATCTCAGCATTCCATCCTCCATCTCGTCTAGCGTTTAACATGATGTTCAGCCCTTTGCGTGGACAGAACTAAGTGGTAACCTCGACTTAGACATGTGGAACACATCCCAACTTGGATACACCATCGTATAGTCCATTTACCCCACCACGCCTCATTTCATATTTAAGACGGTTGCACGATGGTCGTCGACTTCATTATATTGTACTGTGTCGATACGCCAGTGTATCATGCAACTGGTCCTTCCTGCACGCGTTCTTTACGTTTGCATTGTTTCAAATTTCTATTATGTTTCCCTTTATGGACTTTCTTAACACTCCTCCATATCCAGATTTATTATTATTATTATTATTATTATTATTATTATTATTAAAACTTCCATTACTGTTGCTCCTATTGCTGCTCTCCCCATCCTCCGGGCGGTGCAGATGGAACTCCTAAAGGCACAACAAGCACCTTGCAATTAAGCTATTACCTTCATTCCTTAGCTCCTACTCCGTGCCGTATCGGATAAACCGCTTGAAGCAAATGCATAGAATCAGCCGTCGCCCCCAACGCGTGGCTCTCATTCCCTTGTTCTTCTTATACTCGGCGAACAAAGCTGTAGCAGCTGCTAGAAAATGAGTGAATTCAGTGAAGCGCACAAAATTAAAAGAAAAATTAATGATCTGGTTTTCCACATGAATAAACTTCGGCAGCTTACGACGAAACGTGTGGGCGTTCTCGTAGTGATTGCCTGAACGAATGGACCTTCCAACATTAGTTGTATTGACCATTTTAATCGCCACTTACGTTGCCCACCCGCAGTCATCCGCAGTCCAGAGATGAAGTAGAATGTTTCGTTGATGCCTTTATTAGGACCATTTTGGAGGCCAGGGAAGAGGAGAGCCGAAATATGACAGGTTAAGGACTACACAGTGCTTTTGATGCTATGATATACTCAGTTACGGGCACATTCGGCCGAAACCATATTTTTGGACTCAGAGTACAAAGGGTGAATATCTCAATACTGATTATCCCCCAATTGTGCGTAGCTCAGTAGTCGATTTACAACATGGCTCGAAGATTCCCTTCTAATACGTCCTACATGTTGGTAGACAGGTATCGGTAGAACTCTATGATAAAGAAAATTGATACTCGTGAAGCTCAGACGATACAGAAAATCGTTCCTTTATAGGCAGGTTTCGTCATGTATAACTTTTGGTGCGCGGGAACACTTCGTGCTCATGATTTTTCCAAGACAAAAAAGTGGAATTTCTCACTATCGTACACATTATTACCTATGACTCTGCCAATAACTGTTTCTTCCTTCAGTTCAAGTCAAAGGAGCCAATTTGCGTATCTGCAACCATCCCGATATTTGAACCATTCCCTGCGCAGTATTTGGTTCGCGTACTTAGTGACCAATGGCTCGGTGCTGACGCAATGTGCCCGATCTCTTTCAAGCGGCTAATGTTGCCCCCGTCTGACCCGCCCCACACAGGTATGTCCCCTATCAGTTATTTATCATAGTTCAAGTGACTAGCTGTGCTATCCTAAGCCTTGTAGGAATGTAGCACCCTAATCGTTGTCTTTGTTTTCTTTGTTTACACTCAAGATCTACTTCGCCTTGAGCCTCTCCCAGTTTGCGCGCTTCAGAATAGCCGGTACGAGCTGCTCTATTCTTTCACACACTTCAACCCGATTCAAACTCAGCTATTCCACACACTCTACCACCAAGATGTAAACGTGCTTCTGGGTGCACCGACGGGTTCTGGAAAAACTGTGGCTGCTGAGTTGGCTTTCTTTCGTATGTTTAATCAGACTCCGACGAAAAAAGTAAGCTTCCACTTTGGAAATTCCGGTATGGCGATGTATATTTTCTTTTGTGTCACAATCCTGTCCCTTTTTGCTTTATTCATATATGGATTTGAACATTTGACTCACTATTATTTTTCATTTCAGTGTGTATACATCGCCCCACTGAAGGCACTCGTACGTGAACGGATGGAGGACTGGAGTGTTCGAATTGGTCAAAAGCTAGGAAAGCGGTGTGTTAAATTTCAGTTAAAGTATATTTATACATCAGCGGCATGTGTAGAGATTATCACGAAGGAGGCCGAGGCCTATTTGAAGGCACTCATTTGAGACTCGAACCGGGGTTGTCGAAGTGTTAGTCTTATTCGCTCGGTCGATTCCGTATCATTGTTGTATTTGTCTGCATCGTTAAGGAACCCACCAGTTTTCCGAGACACCGAATTGAATCCATCCGTTTTTTTAAAGAGACATTTTGCTGATACTTGCTGTTCTGAACCAATACCGGTTTTGAGATCCATTGATTGAACTCACAACCTCACGCTCCATCTATAGGGTGGATCCGCTCACTGCTCCAAGCAATATATTTCTTATTTTGTGTACCCTACGGGATAAAACAGACTTTGAACGGTTTTGATTCATCTGAGCTAATCTTGCGCTTAGAAGTGACTGGGTTATATTCGGTTACAAGAATGACAGCCGAGGCTGGAACTCAAGGACATTGCAATGTCTAGAAGCAGAGACTTCGGGTGCAAAAATTATACACATCGGATCGATGAAAGGTCACAGCAACGACGATTTTATTGAACACTTGTTACCTGTATATTGTGCTCCATGTTCCTTATAAAGGTCTTGTTTGGCTCAGTAAACTAGAAACAGCTCCCATTAGTCGGGTGGTGGCATCCTCTCGGACCACAATGTATGCATATCTGTACATTTGCCCGTACATATCCGTACATTTGATGGACCCCACTCTTGCTGGATACGTTTGTGACATCCACGTGGATGATGCTATGTACTAAAAAATTGATGTGAATTTTACGCCTGTAGATAAAAAGATTATTAAAACTGTCGGGACCACTGTCACCGAGCTAACTGTCCGTCAGGTTAACGCTCTCCTTCCGAAGGTAGCTAGCTAATTGGCGGCACTTTTCTAGTAAATGTCTTTGTTTGCATCACCTGAATGTACTTCAAATCATGTGCAATGTCTGTGTGCGACGTTTATCAATATTTTCCGAATATGTCGGACTCCTCGGGCCGCATAATTTTCCTCTCACTATTAGCCTACCCTAACATGATGACAATGGGCCTTTGTATTAATCGTATTTTCAACTCCTCATGGAAATCTCAATAGCAGGAAAGAGAATGGAGTTTATGCAGGTGATCAGTGGTGCGCTGAGGATTTTGCTTCATCGGGATTCGCTTCAGATTCTCCTTGCCTTGGTCTCTTTTGAGATTCGCATCTCACCTCTTCGATATCAACGTTACTTCTTAAATTCTGCTTTCTTCCCTGATGAAGAAGCGTTAAGGTTGTCTTTCACAGGCTTCTGAAATGATGAAATAACCGTCTTTAAAGAATTGAAAGGAGGCCTCCCCATTATGAGGACCACTTTCGAAGTGGTCTTCTATGGGATGACTTTGCCAGTTTGAAGGATTTCTTAAAGTTGGCCCCTTTGTGACGGGCCCCTCTTCACAGGAGGAACCGAAGCCTCAAATTTCGGCTTCCTGTAGAATTCTGTGAATTCATCTTTTGGAAACTTAAAAATTCTACGCGAGTGGAAAATGGTGGCTTTTTATAAATGATGGTATATGTTCGTGGGTTGAAGTACTGCGCTTGATGAAATACTTACGAATATGCAGTCTGGTCTCGCAGTTTTTGGTAACATTCATGATACCTACACGTCCGGTCAGTCTCTCTAATGGGACCCAAGCGTAGTCTCGTTTAGAAGAAACTGACATTTGTCTCAGGAATGTACGTAATTCCCTGGCTAGTCAGATTAAAACTTATCAGAACATGGGACAGTCCAGTGCACGAGTTTCGCATCTCGGTCGTTGCTGAATGAGAAAATCACATCTTTTGAGCATGAACATCTAGACAGGGTATCATCTTGCAATCAAACCTCAATGGAGCCGTAACCATACGATTTTAGCTGAGGGGGGGGGTATGTCTCGTCCGATAGACCTGGTGGGATTGACCACTGTAGGTTTCGTGCGTAGCCTCAGCTACTAACATATTTGGCATTCACTGCCACTCTGATGCTTGCTTGTCTGTACTTCAACTTCTCATTCTTTTTGTGTGCTGCATTTTAGTGTGGTGGAACTTACTGGGGATGTGACACCGGATATCCTACAGTTAATGAAAGCAGACCTCATAGTCACCACTCCAGAGAAATGGGATGGTATATCTCGATCTTGGCAGCAGCGTGCATACGTCCGTCATATTGGTCTGATTGTTATAGACGAGATTCATCTTCTTGGGGAAGAACGTGGACCAGTACTGGAGGTAAGTTTTCATTTTTTTAAGAACATTTTCATCGGTTACGTGATATTGAACCTGACTGAACTGGCTTGCGAAATTCCTATGAAAACTTCCCTGTTATTTACTTGGTTATCCATGTTATAGGTTCTTGTCTCGCGTGCCAACTATATCGCTAGTCAACTTGGCCAAACCGTACGCATCGTCGGGCTGTCCACTGCCCTGTCCAACGCTCCAGACTTGGCCGCTTGGCTTCGTGTGCCTACCACAATGACATCCATAGCGGAAGTGGCGATTGGGCTTAATTGCGGCACCGCGCTCATCGGACGCGGTTTGTTCAATTTTAGACCATCTGTTCGGCCTGTCCCCTTAGAAGTTCATATTCAAGGATTTCCAGGTCGACACTACTGTCCTCGCATGGCTACCATGAACAAACCAATCTATCTCGGTAGGTTGCACATTTTTTGTTTCCAATCAAGGGAGGATAGGTGAATTCTTCCGCTGAGTAAAGTTTCGTCTCCACTTGTGTGCACAGTTGGCTTGAGTTTTGTCGTGTCCGTGTTTGAATTCACACAGTATCCTCCAACCTAGAGCTCCTCAAGAAAGAGAGCACGCTTCCGACGCTTTATGAAACAATATTATTATGGCGATGGTAGTTCGAACCAAGCTGGTGTGTTTCATGCCGGACCATCTTGGTACAACCGAACATGAGTCGATTGGGCCGGGATTCCCTCCATGATCTCAGAATAAAGGGATAGTATGCTGACACCTATTTCTCGAATAAACTGGCGAAATCTTAAATGACAAAGAAAGTTAACTTCCAGCGCGACCACTTAAAATCTATGGTAGTGCGTTGATATTTGAGTATCTCAATTGAAATTTCGTTCTGTAACTGAAACCAGTCTATGTTGAAAGACTGAGAAATGCTGCAAAAATAATTGGTTCTTATTGGGAAGTCTTACGAAACTCAACAACGATCGGAACGCGCGATTTCCCGTCTAATAGCTGAACCCCAGCAAAACCAGCTTCAACAGCCTCTGAATCTTCTGCAATAAGCAGCTGAAAGTGAGATAATCGATGGGGAGATCAATTCAACAACCATAATGGGGTGTTAAATAATCGTCTGAAATGATCAGCACATATCAGTAGCAAATGAGTTTTGCATACAATCGAGAGCAGTCTGTTGTCCAGCTTCTTTCGTGATGCGAACATTAAAAGCCGACAGATGAACTGAGCGTCAGGGTTTGATGAATGATCTTGAAGTACCTACGGTCGTGATGACAATGGGTGGCAGATTTTTCTGTCAGTCCTTAAGTCTGGGCCTACATATTTGTTTCTGGTAACGGGGTGAGGAGTGAGCGAAGGGTGAACATGTGAGAGGAAGGAGGCATCAACAGTAGTCTGTTTTCGCTTACCCTCCCCACTGTATGCATCGAGTAAGGCGACTTGTCTGATGGCTCCACGCGACAATCGATGCGGCATTGGGTAACTTGCCATTGTGAAATTCGTCGTAGCATGTCAGCTGGGATACTGCCATGGCACTCAGGCCTAGACAAGAGGACCACTTGGGTCCTCAACCAAAGCCCAACCGAACGGATTCGGTGGTTAGCGTGAGACTGTCAAAATAATCTACATTTTTAGGAAGCAAACCGCCATAATTTTTCCAACCTTGAATCTACAGTACCAGGAAATTGTGCCAGTTAGACCTATACCCATTGACCAACCTAACATGAGAGGCTCTGTGAGTGTCACACATACACTCCCCAGTATAGGTCAACGGGTTATAGGAATGCACAAAACGTCACATCAATTTTAAGCCGCACTATCTTTTTGACAATGAATATCCTGCCTAAGCACGAGCTAATCACACTGCTGGTCAACCACCCGTGACCGAACAGTTCAACTGCCTGTGAAAATTCGCAAGTTCGAAACTTTCTGAAGTTTCATGCGGTGCGCGCTGCTGATGAATCCCAATACGGATGAAACAGCTGGACGGTGCTTCTCGACTCTTCCGCATACAATATCCCCATTTCTAGAACGAAAACATATGCTTTTCACCAATAGTTTTGCATAAACTTTTTAAATCCAAAACACACTCCAAACAAAAATTCCGCGTTGTTTTAAGATGGAGCTTTCGTACAGTTGGTGTTTTTGTAACCAACTGTCTATTGGTTTATGAAATACATCAGTCTGGACCTACCTACGATACTTGGTCAGTTCTGGATTCGGAAACATCACTTCCCGGTTGTCCGAGTGGATTGTCTTGGAGGCGGAATCTGACTTATTAGGAGCGTCGTCAGCTTCGTTCCCGATGTTCATCTTTGTTATCAAACCTTGAATATCTTTCATACCTTGACCAAATAGACTGATGCATCATGGTTGCTAGCCCATCTTTCATTGTATCTATCGCTTTTCTGTATTCCTGTCAGCTATCAACAGCCATTCACCTAATAAACCAGTTTTGGTGTTTGTGTCCAGTCGGCGTCAAACTCGACTCACGGCACTTGACTTGGTCAGCTACGTTGCTGCTTCGGGAGATACAAGAAAGTGGCTTCATATGGACCCAAATGAGGTTAGTTCATCTGATTTTGAAGTCAGATGACTCTGTTGTACCATGTTTTCGGTTTGACCGATTTTATTGACAACGGCACTGTTTACTACGTCCATTTATTCGATGTAACATGCGTCTTCGGACGCAACTTATACCTGAACTACTGTGTTGTGTTCAAAAACATGCGAGTCCCCTATTTTTCCGGGCATCCCAACAAACGTGAGTGTAGAGGGGATAGATTGCGGTGCATTTATTTGCTGTTGCCAATTTAGCGTAAATTTCCGTAATATGCACTTGTTAAGCCGTTTAAATGAGAACGTTCCATGTGTTTGTGATTCAGAGCAAGGAGTTGTTTTGTTGTTCTGGAGGAACAAAGCTACTTCAAGTAGCGAGCTAGTTAAAAGCATTGGCACTAAAAATGAATATTGATCTGGCGTCAATCTATGTTGATCTATGTAATCTAGCTGTGTTTTCAAGGGAGTTGTAAACTAGGCAGCACACTCTTGATTGTTCGAATAACAAGTGACACGAGAACACGTACGTTGGAAGGCTATGCTTTCTGCCCCATTCCGTTGGTGGGCTACGCCCATCGAAGTGACCATTTGAGTGTGACTATTTTCCACTTACTTTAGGGGTGGTTACTGTAGGGAGGGGCTCTGTGTAAGTCCTACCGCTTTCCTACCGAGTTATCATTCGGTTCTATGTGCCGATCCTTCTGGTCTCATTGAAATTCATGGTGTTTTTTTCTCGTTTCAGATGGATGCAATTTCTGAAACTATTCATGACTCAAACCTGCGGTTAACTTTGTCATTTGGTATCGGGCTACATCATGCAGGGTTACAATCTCGCGATCGTTCAGTCGTTGAAGAACTCTTTGTGAATGAGAAAATCCAGGTATGCTACATTTACCATGGTATTCACCGGATTCCCACTTCTCATGCTCACACTGTAATAGGTGTTCTTACTGTTTTCTTGGACAAGAGTTCGAAGAACTGCAAGTTTCCAAGCGACACAGTTTAGTCAGTAAGTCTGTCGACCAATACTTGACTGCTTCACATAAACCAGCAAAATCATGTCAATTTTACCGATGTGTCTAGAACGGCCTCGTTCGGCACTGAACTGTACTTGGTTGATTTCGGTTAGTCAGATTTATCAAATCTGTTGTAACGAAGCAGCTGCTGAAGGCGAGTGGCATAGCAACCGGGACCAGACGTACACGCTATGACGAGGGAAAGCCCTGATAAATTCAATTAATGTGAAAAGAAAACTCGGTCACAACCGAGGTCCTGTAGCCCATGGTTCAGCGTAGCAGTCAAGAGTTTGATGGAGATGTGTGCTTGGTGTGGTACGCAAGCTTGGTTGGATTGACCATCCAAAGGATGAACAGTCTGGTTGGTGGTGAAATCAATGCAATAAACTGTTCGCTGGCTAATCTCGTTCCTGCTCATTTTGTGTCTTGATGTCGGTTCCGTTTCGCAGTCAATTTGGAGTGTGATAGAATGAGCAATTCCTATCGTTATGCAGTCACTTGACTATGATGTAGATTAACCGGTCACCGCCTGTATTAAGGATCCTTGTTATAATTATTTGGCCGTGCTTTTCCATACCTCTTATGCTTTTGCTGCACATTATGTCTTCAGATACTAATCTCCACCGCTACCCTGGCATGGGGTGTAAATTTTCCAGCGCATTTGGTCATTGTCAAGGGCACAGAGTACTACGATGGACAGACCAAGCGTTACGTGGACTATCCTATCACTGGTAGGTTAGACGGTTTGTGTACACTGAACGTTTACTTTGTGTCCGCACTGCATTGGGGCGAGCCGGGTGGTATTACTAAACACGATCAAACTTTTGAGTGGTAATTAATTTTCCGCTTCACTAGACACACTCGATACTAGGGATTTTTTTAGTACGGAGAGAGGGAAATCCCATACTCAAAAACTCCCCATAAAAACAACAAAAGTAATGCAAAATGTGCATGAACTGAAAAATTTGAAGACTTTCTGAGATGAACTTTAAATGGGCTCTTGAAGAGTTCAAGATTATATGAATTACAGAGGGACAGAATGTGGTGGGGTTCTTGGGAGGAAATAAAGGGGAAGAGTTGGGTCTTGTAGTAATGGTACGGGCATTGGAACGAGACCAGGGACGTTGCTTCTCGATGAGTTAATCTTTACTGACTACTGGCCAATACGTAGGTTTCGACAATGTTCAGTTCTACATCGAGTCGAAACAGGAAGGAATAAAATCAGGGAATTCCACCCGAAGGACGCCATCAGCACTCTAGGGCAGGGCAAATTCGGAATTCAGTAAGCTAAATAATTTCGGTTTGGGTGAACTGTTTGTATGCTCAAACTGGAAAGTCAGTCGTTCTTGATGCGCACGTCAAGTGTACTTAGATGTGTTAGGACTGGGATAATTCTTCAAAAACTGACACCAAAAGGAATGACGCGAGAGGGATAAGGGACGGTAGTAGATCCGATGAAAAGGCTTCCGTCGAGAGTCCAATGCCGAAGGGAGATGGACACTCGGGGGGATTCAGAAGAGTTGTACCGTGCAAATTCTATTGGTTTTTGGCAAGACCGGTTTTTGGAACAGCGCTGGCCTGTGCAGGGTCATCGACTGCTAATAGGTTCTTTAGTTGCTTGTGTCAGCCGGTACTCCGGTTTGATCATCTGCTTTGTTGACAAAAACAATCTTGCTAACTGGCTGGCTTTCTTGCGTCGTGCACTGTTGAATATTTCGGTGGATTGTCGGTAGACTTTGGGCCGAATTCGGACGGTTAGTGGCTGATCGTATTGTCGTCATGTCATACTGTATATTACGTCTCAATCGAATCTCTCTTTCCGAAAAGCTGGTCTATTTGTGAAAGCTGCACTCTTCTGGACACCGGAGGATATATCTATTGGGTTTCTATTTTCTTATCCGGGTCTAACCGTTTTGTGTTGGTTATGTGTCGCCTGGTTTCCGGGTCTCTTCAGGACGAAAAACTACGCGAACTTCGCCTACTCGGTGAGCCCAAAGAAGAGTAAAGGCGGCCGTGGGCTACCGAAGGGTTTTCGGCAACCTTATGTGTAGTGTGTTACGTCTAAACATATCTAAAATCTCGTACCAAATGAAACATTAGGCGGCCTGGTGTAGCATATTCCGTTAAAGCGGACCACCAGAAACGAGACATTCAGCTGGATCTCCCGAAATTCATGTGCGAATGAGAGTATTTGTCACAATCTGTACAGTTTTGGTTCAAATGGAACATAAGGTTGACGGTGACTCGAGGATTGTGCCGCAAGAGGGGTGAAACCGATCTCCGGCTGTCGAATGGTTTTCAGCAACTTTATGAGCATTGCGGTACATGGACTATTATTTTCGAAGTTTTAGATTGTGTGTCCATAATACTATCTTCTCCGCTAATATTACTGCTGATCCAGTTAGCTTGCTGTGGCTGAAGCGGACTTGCCGGACCTTTGTGGAGTGTGTATGATGTAGTTATCTATCGTTTAATTGCGCGTCACATGTTGGTTATTTGAAACGCAGCGTAATAACTCCCTAGCTATTCTCATGATTGGTTGCATCCTGGTGATATTAACGGAGTTTTTTCGCTCTTTTACCTCCTTTCATATCACAGATGTGCTCCAAATGATGGGTCGTGCCGGTAGGCCCCAATTCGACAATCAAGGAAAGGCGGTTATCATGGTTGAAGACAGCAAAAAAGCTTTCTATAAACGATTTTTGTACGAACCTTTCCCAGTGGAGAGTTTCTTACCTCAAGCATTCGCTGATCACCTAAATGCGGAGATAGTGGCGGGTACTGTTAGTACAACCCAGGAAGCATTGGACTACTTGACGTGGACGTTCTTTTTCCGTCGTCTTCTAATTAACCCCAGGTAACGTTATAAAGCAGGCACTTTTTGTCGAGAAACTGTCCAACCGTTTAAGCTGCTTTGGATCATGGGACGGACAATATGTAGTAGATCTTCGGTCGATTTCGCGTTCACCTGGTAGTTCTTTCAAGTTTTTCTCTACATTACCTTTTTAGATAGTACACATATTATTTCCTGAACCTAACTTCACCAAAAATCAGCAATGTCTGGGGTTTTATGAACATTTGTTTCTGTGTAAAATTCTTTTAGGTCACCGCCCCTGACATCCGGGTCACTCTTCCGCGATAGATAATTGTAGTCTGGATACTTTGGCCAATTTCTGTTGTGGTGACTCGCCAAAGCCTGAGGTATGATCAGAGACGCTAGCAGCTGGCATTTTTGAGCCCTGTTGTTGACTGCAAGCAATGTACCATTCAGCTGTAGCACTCTTCCGGTGCCTAGCTGCCATGCCACCCGAAGGAAGCACGAGGGCTGGGATACTGCCAGGTTGCCCAAGCCTAGACAGGGGAAGTCGAGATGCGGAGGTTGGATTCGAACCACGGACCTTCCGGTCAGTAAATTCGCGTTCTTACCACTTGGGCGTCTCGCCCCAAGTAATGTAGAAAGTAAAGTAGTTCGACATAATCTGGCGAAGAGTACACTTCCCTCTCCCCATTTCTTCCATATTTCCTCAAACCTTACCCCTCTCAGACTGAAGTTCTATTTTTCTCTTGGCACATTCATCCCTGTGTGAACAATTCCATATCAAATGCGCTCTTTTTCCATATCTGCACCACAGTTACTACGGTCTGCCAGATTGCCAACCGGAGACAGTCAGTGCGTATTTGTCCGATTTGGTCTTGGGGGCTTGCACCCAATTGGTTCATTCCTCCTGCTTACAGTTTGCTTCTGACCAACCGGGTGATTTTGTCAGTACGGAGCTTGGTCGCTTGGCATCGTTCTACTACCTATCCCACAAGACAGCACGCTTGTTTTCTGAGAAACTTGAGCCCAATTTGACAGTACACGACCTGTTACAAATTTTGGCGGTAAGTTTGAGAGCTGTCTTCTCTAGGATGCGTAGTTTTCGTTCCTCAGCCACACCATATTTATGAATAATGATCTCGTGTTAAACACCACGTGCAATTTAATGTTGTGCATAGGGAAGCTACTTCCTTGTTCTTACTGAGTTCATGTTCAGTACGTTGCTTTGAAAATCATCGGTGGCACGTAATTTGATGATTCGGGATTTGGTTTACATCATCCCCTGATTACCCTGGACCCGAAAGGTTCGTTGACCATCTACATTTCACTAGTTCTGTTCCTTTATTCTGTTTAATCCATTTATCTTCCTGGAATGCTGCGGGATGGCCCAGTGGTTGGAATGCGAATTTACTGACCGGGAGGTCCGTGGTTCGGCTCCAACCTCCGTCTGGGGACTTTCCATGTCTAGGCTTGGGGAGCCTGGTAGTATCCCAGCTATCGTGCTTCCTTCTGGTGGCATGACAGTTAATCCCCGAAACGGTGCTGAACGATTTTTCAAATATTGCGTCCCAGTTAGTCTTTCTGCTGTTTGATTGGTCGATAGAATACTTGTTTTTCATTATTTTCCTTTCTTGGATTCAATTGCTCCGTTTGCCGTTTCTGTTGTCTTTGCTTTCAATTGGTTCGTGAGACACTTTTTCACTTGACGCAGCTTTTACTTGTTCTGATTTACTGACTCATTTTCGGCTTTTGGGTGGGTTAATTATGATCAATACTTTTATCCGGAGTTTTGTTTCCCCTTAATGGGTGCTGCGAAGTTCCCTGTACTCGAAGGGCTGGTAGGCTAAGTCGACTTCAGTGTGTGTTAATGGTTTTGTCGGTCGAGTACCACACCTTCGTAAATTCATATTGGTTCTTGCTTGAGCCAGTGTGCGAGCACTCTGACGCTTCTTCGTATTTAAGAGATGGCGACGCAGCTGTCCGGAAAGAGTCGAATTACTGACTTCCTTGCTGGACTCCACTTCAAATGTGAGCTGTACCATTCTGAAGTTTCCGTGGCATGTGGACTAGGAACGTTAGTGTTAATTCAGTGTAATCATTAATTCATTATGGTATGCCATACCGTCCTTTCTGTTGATTCGGGACTTTTGTTGATTGACAACAAAGTTCCCTTCTTTGAAGGTGAAGTTTACCGGGTAAAACGGTGTCGCCATATACCGAAAAGATACTGATCGTTCGAAAATTTCTACTGGTAAAACTACACATATCTCATCATAGAATATGAAAGCTCCCAATAGAATACCGTCCCCCAATGAGAGTCTTTTTTGGGAAGTTAACTTCTACTGACTGAGTGAATTTCATTGACATGTATGAGTGAGTGTGTGACATGTGAGTTACTCTGTGCTACTGTCGAGTTCGATTTGTTGGGCCTTGTAGAGTTTGTGGTCTTGATAATTAGTTTTTACTAACGGGAGGTCAACTAAACTCCTGTCTTAAACTGCTGTGACAATACAATTCGACGTATACCTATGAGTGGTCTATGCTTGGAATAAATTTAGGACTGGTTGTTCTCATCTTGTTTTCTTATTATTTCCTCAGTTGTTGCATCAAAAGATTCCCCCCCCCCCAGACAGGTAGCGAGGGGTTTTCGCATTTAAACAGCACAAATAACATCTCATTATCACGCTATGATAGCTGATATTGTTGGCAGGAAGTAGTGTTGATCTGGAAATATTTGAAATGTCGAGAATAACGAAAAGGATGAACTGACGGGGCGAATGATCAAATAGGTTCACTCGTTCGGCTACTGAAACATCGGGAGTAGTTCGTAGTCCGTTCAATACATCCATATTGGAATGGTTCCAAAGCACGGGCTCCACGCTTTCACGATGTCTTTCGACAATTTAAGGTGCATTTCACCAAATATTCACAAAGATGACGAATATCTAGTAGCTGGAGTCATTTTCTACTACATTCCGTGATTCATCTGCAACACAATTCTTAACATTACCACAGTTTTACCGACCTTCCTGCCGAGGTTAATGTTACCCATGTTACTGGCATGCGGTCCAATGGGTTCTTCACTAATTGTTTAGGTTAAGTTAAGCCATGAAGTACGCAGCACTCTGCTGTTCCAGTAGCGTAGGCCTCACTGTTTTTCAGGCAGCCAAGCATTGACAAATTCCGCTTAATTTCCAACGGTGCTCGTTCTATTCAGGTATCCCTGTGTCGCTGCCCACAGCTCGGGAACCACATCATTCCCAGATTCAGACAACGTCACTATTAGGCACGATTACGTCGATTTTTCGTTCTCTGCATTTATTGCAGATGATTTGCTGATTCTTCTTATTTTCACTTTACACTAATCTAAGCTCGAATCTACGTCATAGTAAGCCGAGTGCCTTTCAAGAACATTTTCTTTCTAATCGTCTGACTGATTACCTTCCTGCTTCCAGACTCCTGAATTATTCTGGTAGTATTATATTCTGAATTTTCGCCTTCTACTTTTGGTGAAATTTTCTACTGTTGAATAAAACTCCACTTTATTTTTTGGAAAAATTGGCAACAAGGACGTTTTATGATAGACTATTAACGTCTCAGCTGGGGAATAATTAGTCAGTTGATGGACACCGTTTTATATTGTTAGTCTACTTGCGCCACTGTGTGTCTGATGCTGCGACCTTTTCTCGTGTTCTATTTGGGAAGAATGAGAATGCAGATGGCCACATACGATTAACGCTAGTTTTGTTGCCCGTAATGAAGTCATTTGGCAGTCTGCCACAAAGGACGTGCATAATATATGATGACAAATACGCCAACTCCCTCAGTAGATTTCGTTTCCGAGCTAGTCAAATGCTGGAACCGTAAATTTTTAAGATGCAGCAGCGGCGTGTAACTGTATTCACTCCTCCAATCTACATATTCGTAACTCCGAAGAGGTGAGCGCACCCAAGCTTCAGAACCCGTCTTGCACCGCAGGGTTGTGATTCAGAACCTACTACGTAGTTTGAGGTGTGTCTTACCTACGATTCCCGATGAGAGTTGAAGGGCTACACATCACTTCAACCCTCCGGCATCGAGTACTTTAACTCTTGACGAAAATATCCCAATGGTTGAACAGTATCGGGTAATTTCTACAAAGAGTTATGAAGCACCAGTCTTTTTCGATGGAGACTGATGTTATTGCTTGTGAAATGGATAGGCCTCTTGATTCGCAACTGACATGGATTTCGACATATGGTTTCATTCCTTAATGCATCCACCGACTGTACTACTTGTATCTTTAGTGCTTACTATCTGTGCACTAGAGCTCTTCCTATGCTTTTAGAATCTCAGTATTTTTAAGCCCTTATGATGTGTACAGCTGGGTTGATATGGGTGGCTTTGTTGGCGTCATAATGGAATCCGTCGATCAGGGAATGCTGAAGCTCCGCTGAACATTACACATCCAATCCCTCGTGTTGGGATCAACTGTGATGCTATAGGACGTCCAAGTCAAGCTCGAATTATACAACTTCAGTGTACACTATCTCAGCTGACTGCTGCATCCTTCACGTCCCCATTACTTCTGTCGGTTGACCTATACTAGTTTAGAACTCTTCCATACATGTTTTTCCCTCATTCTCAGACAACCATAACCTCAATCGTGACTCGCCAGCATTGATAGACTTCTCTTCATGCACTGATTTCCGTTGCTAATTTGGCGTTATTTCCTCTTCTCCGCTGTCAACCTCAACAGTTAAATTCAGTCAAGCACCCCTTCTCATGCCTTTTAGAATGCCAACGAGTACGCACTTTTACCGGTTCGTCATAACGAAGACGAAATGAATCGTCAGTTGGCAGGGGTCTTGCCGTTGAAACCAATCGGTTCTTTTGAATGTCCTCACACTAAGGCACATTTATTGCTTCAAGCACACTTTACGCGACTCGCGGAGTTGCCAGTTGCAGACTACGTGACCGATACAAGGTCTGTATTGGATCAGGCATCTCGGATTCTGCAGGTTTGTGGAGTTTTATGCGTACTTGATTTCCCTTCCGATTGTTCTCTCATTTGTATCATGTCTCATTGAATTTCTTACCCAAAATTTCTACCGTTAACGGACCACCTGGAACTCATTTTTCTTTGCTGCTCTAAACTGGACATTCGTTTGCCATCGAAGGTTTCCTGCACATTTCTCCCTCGATGACTTTCTTAGTCAGCGTTGCCTGATCTTAATCTTCACCTTGTATTGGTGCTGGGGAGCGGGGACAGATTAGTGCACCTCGACGATGATGCCCGTATTCAAAGACGGTGCACGGACACCGGGAAAACCACCAGGACATTAGACTAGCGAAAACGGCTTCCAAGTTGCTACCCGGCATTATTTCACACAGGTTAATCTATCGTTACGGGAGTCAGATTCCCGAGATCGAAGCTAGATTTGCTTCGAGCATGGCTTCGGTTTGCCAGAAGTGTGGGAAAATTTACCCCTTCTTCCGATGACCACTAACGGACGTTTTTCATCTGAGTTCAACTTTTGACAGCGTCAACCCCCCGAAACTATAACAGTTTCTTGCATTGAAAAGTATCCCTTTCAAATTCCTGTTCCATACTCAGGGACGGCTTCTTACGGCAAACCCTCTCCTAGGTTCACCTCATCCAGTGGTTTCAGACAAATATGCCCTCTGTCGCTCTTTCTCTTCAACTTCGCAATCGATGTGCGGTTTGAGCTTCTTTCCCCCCCCGAAACTATAACAGTTTCTTGCATTGAAAAGTATCCCTTTCAAATTCCTGTTCCATACTCAGGGACGGCTTCTTACGGCAAACCCTCTCCTAGGTTCACCTCATCCAGTGGTTTCAGACAAATATGCCCTCTGTCGCTCTTTCTCTTCAACTTCGCAATCGATGTGCGGTTTGAGTCTTCTTTACCGGCCTCTAACAAATCAGGTATCATAGTGCTCTCGAGATATTCGCTCACAGTATGCTAACCCTATCGCTGTTCTTGGTTCAAACCCTTTAGAGGTGCATACCATTTCAACTAGCCTAAACAGTTCTGCCGCAAGGTTCAGCATGTGTTTTACACCTGGAAATATAAGGTGTTGCCACAAGACTGTGTGGGACCAAATCCTAAACTCAAGCCTCCAGATGACTCGTGATGGTTAGATTACTAGTTTAGTTTGACTCCGGCTAGCCGCATAAACCCCGGCGGACTGGCTAGACACGAGATCACTTCCTGAATCGGGAAGGTTATCGCAGCCTATGCCAACCCCCGACTTTTGTGGCTGACATGGGTAGGGCATATGCGCCCTGTCCCACCTTATGGGCTAGAAGAGTGTTCTCTGTGTGTTGATCTTCGAAGACTTCGTGTATTTGACAATCTCTGCCACCAAAACATCGGGCGGGAATGTCAGCTCAGTAGTACTGAGGTTCACTGGGCGGTTTTCACGCACGGTTCCTCTCCTCAGTAGGTCAGCTGGTCACACTGGCGAGATCATGTACTTCGTATTCCAGAAAACTATTTGCCTCGCAGAGCCTTCTTTCCACAGTCACGTATCCGATTGAGATGGTTCACGGATGGTTGGTCCATGACTTGGCAACGAAGCATAAACGTTTCTACCAGTCAGCACAGTTACGCTGCTACTTCTGTCTCGCCGAATGAATACTTTGAGATGAAACAAACCAACGTTTGGTGACAGATACGGCTACGTCACGCGGTCACTCGCGATCGTGTTCCACGGCCATTACGCCCACTTCGTGACTTTCTCACTCCTTGCTATACCTGCTAAACAGAACAATCTAGTCTCAGTGAACTGAATAAGCAACATATGGTTGTCATTCCCCCTGACCTTGGTGAACCAGACTGTAATATCTGGGGTCAGTGTACTTTAGCACATGGTTTATAGTTTAGTGTCTGTACTGAACCGACCAGTCACCATCGTTATCAATCAACATTATTTTAATTAGTCGGACAAATCTCCAACCAACGTTTTGGTCGTAGCGCTTTGTATGAACTTAGCATATCATCGATAGTGCATTAGGATGATGCGTCACATCACTATTCCCTCCAGAATTTGACAGATTATCGCCTCTGTGCTTGCGCACTTCTGATCGAAAGTGCGGCCTCGACTTATTAGTCTTCTTGTTAAAGATCTAATGTATCCTGGATGTGACCGTCATTACTAGTTAAAGGTGATCCACTGGGTGTAAGTCTTTTCATGAAATAAAGAGAGATGTCGGAAGACGACGGCTTCTAGTCATCCTCGGTGCATTGACTAAACCGTTGTTGGGGTCTTGGGATTCATCTCCCGTTGTAATGCATCTCTTTGTACGTCTTATCTCAGCGCAGTATGTGGTCGCTTGTGTACCCAAATTTGTCACCATCTTGACCTTCGTTCGCAGAGACGACTGCAAGTTGGTCGCCCATTTTAGCTGCAATTTTGTGTTCATAGAGTCGGGTAGAAATCTCCCCTCCTCTTTGTCCCACGTAGGGCTTATCTCAGTCGTTGCATTGAATCTTGTATGTGACATTCGTCCTTATCAGCGTATCCAGTGTCCCTCCAGTTTTCTACAGTCCTCTCCGCAGAGTTTTCGTAGATTTGTAGATCACCGTAATAGTATCATGGTCTTTCACAAATGCTCTTGATGTACTATAGAAACGGGTTTTCTTATGGTTTGCCAAGTGGAATTTCTCAGATATCCACTTTTTTGAAAAGCGGTGTACATGCGTTTCTCTAGTTTGAGACGCATTGGCTATCAAATCGGTTGATTTCAGATACGTTTTCAAAAGTATACAAACCCAAGTAGGGAGGGGGAAGTGCCCGCTCAACTATGCACGAGTGATGTCTCCTAAAAACATTAGTCGAGCTCTATGAGCCGACAGGCGATCACCTAATAGACCACCAAGAATACTATTTGATTGGGAACAGATTTCCTCATCGGATTCTTTTCAGTGGTACTTTATAACATGATTATTACCAAGTTCCCACCTTCTTTTGTGCCTTTGTTTCTCTTTCCAGGCTATGCTTGATGCGTGTGCACAATGCGGCTGGCTCATGAGCAGTTTAAATTGCTTGCTTCTCATGCAGATGGTTACTCAAGGGATTTGGGTTGAAGATGTGGGAAGCAGTCTCCTACAGCTGCCGGGAATCCATCCATCAAACTTGACGTTGTTCCAGTACGTTTGTATCCTACATAACATAAGCGTGATAGTCATCATCTTGGATTGGTGCACTTTTCTGTTGTTGTGATCATCTGACGCTAGAGGCGAACTAACTGGTGTTGGTTTTACCACTTTTCATCAAACCTCATTCCCGGAGTTCCAAGCTAGTAATTAATTAGCTCATATTTCGGAACATAAACACCCTCACCAATTGGTTTCTGAAGGCAGCCATCTACACTCCTAAGTGTTCTCAACGCACTTAACTGTGAGCAAATTTGTTCTGCTAGCATATCGCTTGAATGGGTTGGAGTTAATTATATTCAAGACACTTGGTTTCTCCTCTCTTCGCAGCAGTGTATTCCATGTGCTGCAAAAACTTCTCATGGGTGGCAAATCGAAAGGTTGTTTTATTACTGTTTTACAAATGTAACCCATACGGTAGGGTAGTCGTACAAAGGCATGGAATGGTTCTTCCATGCTTAATTCAAGGACGCCTCAAAGAATACTCGGAAGGACACAATGCATGTCATTTCTACTGCTGATTTGCACAGACACGTGGGCAAAAATAAGCGAAAAATTCTAGTACCTTATGTACATGTACAACTATCAAAGCCCGAAGTCTCCATTCTTTTACTAGACATCCAAGCTATCCAGAAACTAACGGTGGATGAATATAGCCAATCAAGGTACGATGGAAATGAGATAGTAGCTGGGGGGTCACTGTACCAACTCACGATCACGATACGCAAACGAATTCAATGGCTGTTGGCAGGCAAAATGTTTTCTTCCACTTCCAAACTTGAAGAATGCTTTAATTAATCTATTCGGACTTCTCTTCGTGTTTTGGTATTGATCAGCATCGTTTCGATCAACGCATGCAGGCCTTCGCCGAATTAGCAAATGAAACCTAACGTCTTCGTCGTAGTGGGTTCACAAACTAGCAGTTTCCACCAAAACGTACGATAGTGTTTAGTTACGGCGTGTGTGCTTGATATCGTGGAAAATAAGTCCGCCCTGTACAACAGCTGATGATGAATTGAAGTGATTGAAGACGAGATAAGGACGGAAGTTGCGGACGAAGCTTGTTTTTGTTTTTCGTTATTGTTTCGTTTTGGTTATTGTCCAGTTTGGCTAATACATCGCAAATTTATGTGAATCCAGTGAACCACGTGCACCTGTGTATACATTCATGTGCACTAATGTAAAAGGGGGAGAAAGGTTAGACAGGTCAATATGGCACGGAGTCAAGTGGATTAAGTCACGGGAACGCAACAGATATTGGGCTAGCACAAGTTCAAAGGTTGCATAAGTTTCTTTTGTAAACCGATGTTACTGAGCGAGATCGTTGGTTCATATCCAACCTACAGAAACAGACAACTCGCATATCCACTGAATTAATTTTACAAATATTGCGATAAGACACCTAGCTCACACTTCATGGTCTTTGGGTCAGTATCCTTTCTCTTGTGCGAAGAGCTACCTGGAAGCACAATGACTGAAATGACACTAGAACTTGAAACCCAACAACCTACATCCAGCTTGATGAACGGAGAAGCCATTCTTCTTAACCAACCGAGAACTCTATGAACAAAGCTGTTCGCTGCTGAATAGCTTTCTTCCACCGTACTAGAACGCCGAAACCAATTCTTGTAAATTTTTAATTTCACAGCCCAGCCCTCCCAATTCGAGTGCTGACTATTCCTGAGAAATAGTTACCTAGGCCCTCATTTCATTGAAACGCGTCGACCCACTCAATCCGCACTGACGATTTCATTTCAACGCTTGCAATCCGATTGCCAATTTCGGCAAACAGACCAACAACCGAACTCAAAACCGATATTGTGAAATTTTGTGCAAAACTACTTGGCGAAATTGTGAACAAATTTGTCCACATACGTATGTCAGAAGATATATTGCAATATCTGGAATATCGTGCCAACTGAATCATGAGGCGGCCTGTGTGCAGCACATTCAGTTGGAGGACATCATAAACGAGAGATTCAATTGAGTCTCCCGTGAAAATCAAATTGATTTGCAAATGAGCGTATTTCTCGAAAACAGTCCAATTTGGGTGCAAGTAGATCATAAGGGTGACGGAAACTCGGGGACTATGCCTACCTGATGAGCTCCAAGAAGGGCGAAACCGGTTGTGGGCTGTCGAAGAGTTTTCAGCAACCTTGTGGGTAGTTTCCTTTATGTCAGAATACTTTTCTGCATTTTGAATTGAACGAAATGCACTCATATCGATGCTCCGTAACGATAAATAAATGCCGCGAACTTTCATCCGTTCATCCGGTACCGAACTAGCTCGTTGCTACCGTTTTCTATCGGAGCGTCCGTCAAACAGTCGATTCTTCAAAGTATCCGATATTATCACATGTTACAGAGCCGTTCATTTCTGGCAGTTACTGCTCTAGTAACTTCTTCAGGTTCACCTTAGTCACTCGATGGTTAACTCGGTTTTGGTCTACACTGAGCGGTTTATTGGCCACCATCGTGGATGGCCCAAGTGGTAAGAGCGCGAATTTACTGACCGGAAGGTCCGTGGTTCGAATCCAACCTCCGCCTCTCGACTTCCCCTGTCTAGGCTTGGGCAACCTGGCAGTATCATAGCCTCCGTACTTCCTTCGGGTAGCATGGCAGCTAGGCACCGGAAGGGTGCTACAGCTGAACGCATCGTGGAAAATGTCACTGATTGCACACGTGATACACACATTGGTGGCACGACCAACACATCGCAGACATTCGGTTTACCCGACGGTCGTGGTGGACTTTTTCAGGACTTTGTTCTAACATCATAACTATGATTATGTCGATCTAACAGGCTGCTCGTTCATCTCACAACCCTGTTTTTATGTGCCTGCGAGTGTGTCCAGCGGATGCACGCCAGCCATCTAAATGACAGGAAAATGGTGCAGACGATTTTCCAGATTCATAAACGACGGTTATTACTGATCAGAATCAGAACACGGTGTGTCTACAGGTTTGTGCAAATGTGAGAAATAGGTCACCTGAATCCTCATAATGATCTTCTTGCGAATTTGACAAGCAGAGCGTAACCAAATTTCGCTGCATGTGGCTGTCGTCAGCTGACTTGGCGGTGTTTTCTACTGCTCTTCGGTGATAGAACCCAGAGGTACTGGTTTAAATCGGGACGAGTTTATATATGTGTGTGCAAATTGTGACGAAGGTGCCCATGAAACGGTGCACCGTTTTAACCACAAACTTGACGCAGACCAGTCGACTACAGGATCAACAGTTGTTAGACCGAAAAATCCAGAGGAACGAGACGTTTCCAACTTCTAAACTCCAATAATCTTCAGAAATAGACTCTAATGGATAGGCTATTTTTCCTTCTTCCATTTGGGTGGATTCTTCTGCCTAAACGGTAGCCAAACGAAAAAACCGCTCTCAGGGCATAAGACGACCAGGCGCCGAAGTTTGAGGACGCCCACCTACCCACATGATGTGGACTTTGGCCTTTATCTGTCTTCACTTCCTTCATCGGTACTGCACACCACGTGGCGCACATATTCAGTGCAACATACCAGTCCTCGTGTATATATGGCGAGATGGCTCAGTGGTTAGAGCGCGAATTTACTGACCGAAAGGTTCGTGGTTCGAAACCGACCTCTGCATCCCGACTTTTTCTGTCTAGGCTTGGGTAAATTGACAGTATCTCAGCTCATGTGCTTCCTTCGGGTAGCATGGCGTAACATGGTGTACCGATTTCTGCTATCTTGGCTTCACAATATACAAAGGCATGATACTTGATAGTTAAGTGACTACACAAATGGCAAGAGTTAGCACGGCTTGAGAAACGCGTCAAGAACAACCATCAGTTGCTTGCAAATAACAGGACTGAAGTCTATCGGGTTATCATACTTTCTTCACGGCAACTAGATTCAGACGCTTTACAGACAACGAATTCGGGTTCTCCACTGATTTCACCTGCACTGTCTACACATCATCCCTCGGAACGAATCCCGAACACCGAAGTCTTTCAAAGAGCAAACACTGTTGGAATTGAATGTAGTATAATGCGAAATCATCTACGCCGGGGAGGCCACTTAGAACGAATGGCTCAAAGTTAAATCCCAAGACAAATTATCTACGGCCAGCTGCAGAGTGGATTTCGAAACCAAAGGCGCCTTAAATTTCGCTACTGGGACAGCCAAGTACTGCCTAGGTGTTTACGGGTTTAGAGCCTGCTGCAGTTTCGTAAGCTGCCTCCAAATAAGGATGAAACAGCTGTACTGTTTTCAGGAAAGTTTTGAGAAACTGTAACTGTCCAGAGAATATCTGGCACTCGACATTACAGCCTACAGGACGACTATCGAAGCAGGCGTGAGAAGCTTTGAGAAGTGGTGCGCCTCAGTGCTACAAAACAAGCGAGCTCATTCACTGTGGTACGCATGGGCCCCATGGTACAGTCAAAACGATGGAAGTTAGAGGCCACACTTCTGCGTAAATCGAACCGCATACGCGTTCTCAGGTAATGTTTCCGCAACTGATACTGACTTTCCTGTTATGCTGTTGTAGCTGTGTGATTGAGTCACAAATGGTGAAGATATCATTAACTTGACTCGCATGAAGTGTGCTGTTTCAAATCACCTCCAATTCAGATTGCTTCCCAAAAAGGCCCCGATGAGCTTCCCATTGTGGATCCATCAATCCGTTTGTAGTATCGACCATTGAACACAACTGTGACGTTGACGGTTACAACTTTAGTAGCAAGTTCGGCTCAATAACCGGTCGGTTGAGACCCAAACCATGCATGTTAGCAAGATCAATGATGAACTGGGTAACTTCAGGTATTGGAATGTCCGTAAGATGCCACTGGGCACCATTAACTTATTTTAGGTATTCATCCCTGAAATTTAGTCCATAGATTGTATTGTATTCCTCAGACAGCGCACCGCGAGTTTCAAACTGGGTGGTTTTTAAATATGTACCAACCGGTATGCAAGCAAACGTTAAGAGTAGTTGATCGTGGATGGTACTCGTTCGCATTGAACAACCGGTTCCATGAACCTTTGGCAACCCATGGACACTTAAAGTGTTTGGTCCCTTCGGTACTGGGTGTTGTTTGATCTGGCAGGTTTCTGAGCCGTGAATTTTTCACCGATCACGACCGGCACGATCCAGATTACTATCGATCGCAGGGGCGATTGAAATCCGACTGCTGGATCCACATGAAACTTGTGCAACCTCTGAACTTGAACTGGCCTGCGAAAAATCTGGTCCCACAAGCCTGTTTGACATTGACGCCACTTACCTGATTCCGTGACCCACTGACCTACCCCTCATTCAACCTCCCTTTGATTTCTCTTTCTCTGAAGTGCGTTTTCCCCCCGATTCCACGTGATTTCTGATACCGTATAAAGTCGTGATATATTAGCCAAGAGAAAGAATCACAAAAATCAAGCTTTGTTCGCTACCTTTATTGTTCATATGGCAATTTTTCAATAATTTCGCTTTACTACTTTAGTTTTCAAAATTGTTTATCTGATTAGGTTCATGTAGAAACTGCATTCGGTGGTTGGGAATCACTGCTTCGGAGACCTGGCCATCAGAAAAGATGCCGACGTCCCCATTAAGCTTCTGTTATTGCAAGCTGCTTGTAGACCATTTGGATAGACGGACACTGTGTGACAACAGTGGTTCGATATTTATGAGGTAGATTCTCCTACTTTGTCTTCCACCAACTGTCGGAATCCAGAAATCTTGGCTGAAGTGATTTCAACCGTTTCAACCGCCCTGAGTCTCAACAGCAGTCAGATTGATTCGATTTTCTGATTATCATCCAGGATAAAACATGAGGCAGTCTTTGTGTAACACATTAAGTGGTAGATTTTGCTAACCCGGCGTTCAACTGTCATTCAGTTAAGTCACCCGTTAGCATCCAGCTAGTTTGCAAATGGGCAAATAATTCTACTAATGTACAATGTGACTTTCAAGTAGGAAACGAGGTGGGCGGAAACTCGGGAAAGATGCTCACTTGGTGAGCCTGAAGAAAGTTGAAACCGGTAGATCTGTCTACAATTGAGTGTAGATCAGGTGGCAGTTAATCTGCTTACCGAGCTTGGCAATTTGCTTGTAGATGTTTCGTCACCAATCGTGGAACATCATCAGTCTGCCGAGGATTTTTGCCAGTCTCATTAGAAATGTTGCATCAAGAAGTTAACTGCTGTTCAGCCTACTCGGCAGGTTTCGAAACCCGTCCTGCTGGCCTCCTGATTTTCATGAACAGATGGGTATCTTTTTTATGCGTACACCTGAAGTGTAGTTTACCAACCTATGTCCCACGAAACGAGACCCTTCTGGATTCTGCCAAACCATTATGTTATTGCCAGTGTAGTTGGTTTTTCGGTCCTCTCTTTCATTATCCTCGGTTTCTATTTCTAATCAGACGTACGGATCAGTCATACATCACTTGCCTCCCGGAATTAATTGATTGTGTGTTGTCGGATCCAGGATGGCTAGATCGTGCCCTCTCAGAGTCCCTCCGCCCACACGTACTGTCTTCCATAAAGCAGGTAAGAGACAACTTCGTTTTATCGTAATCACTGTCAACGATGATGACCATGTCGTTCTGTTTATACCATCTCAGTTGATAGTGTATCTAACTGGGAAGCAGCCGGAGTGCCAGCTACTATTTTGTGGAATTAATAAAATGGGTGCTTGTGGGTTAACGCGAGATCGGCTATACGGACACTCTTGTTCACAGGATGCTTTCATATAGTAATAGCTTCCAAACCAGGGCAACGTTTACAGTAAAGTTTCCGTCATTTAATTTTTCTAACCCATGTTTGGAAGTTGCGCGCAATTCGTTTCTATCCTTGCCTGGAAGACAACATTCAACAAACTATGTGTCTCCCTGGCTGCAGCTGTTTTCCCGTCCCATGCTGAAATGCATTTCCTAAAACAGACTTACTCTTGTGACTGTGAGATGCAGGTGATCATCCCTCTCACTTTGTAGTTGGGTTACCAATAACGTAATTTTCACTCTTCGATATTAACTACATGCAAGTAGGTCGAACGACATCAATTTCATCCGCGCCTGTGGTGATAGCACCTTTGCCATCATGGTATGGTGATTTGTCTGATGGCTCCTCCAAGAAACTGTTTGTCCGTTGCCGAAAATATCAATATTGTGTATCTCAGAGAAGCTTGAAAGAACTATCCTAAGACTGTGTACGCATACGTCAAGCCGCGGTCAGGTCAGCAAGATATCTACGAAATAAATGCTCATTTGCCAAGAAAGCTGGTTCGGCGGTCAACGAAACATCTTGCTTCCAAACCTTAGGAAATCAAATAACTGTTTGTCAATTTGAAGAAGAGTTCTAAGTAATACACTCTTTGGCGACATGTTAAGAGTACATTCATCTGATCGTCGTGATCAATTTTCAACACGTGAATGAGTCTGATAGAGATTGGAAACCAGAGTTTTCATTTGCTTGGTTTCACTATGGCTTTGTTTCTGACACCCAACCAAGTAATGTTTTGAGCTAACAAACACTGACTGCTGGCAATGTATCAAAATATTGTTAGCTTGGATGTGTTTATTGTTCATTGACGAGGTGGCTGGTGACGTGTTCGCTGAGGTTGGCAGCTAACTTGCTAACGTTTCGTCGCCAAACGAGGAAATGTCATCAGTGCGCGGGTGGGTGGTTACTTCTTCTTTACTCGCCTGCTTTTGTTCAACTTCTGAAGGGTCTTTGTTACCTCGACATGAGAGTGAGATAGCTTTCTCAATAGTTCATTTGTAATTTTCATTGTGGTCTGCCTTCCTTTGATGCGATTGGTTTCCCGATACCTATTATTGGTAGTTTTCCTTTTTTCGATTCACCCTTTTTCTATTCGCCTTGCGTTGTGGTCTGATCTTTTCGGGTTTGGTTGTTTGGTGGCACTGTCCGTGTCTATCCATTCTGATAACTGGTGTCCTTGCTTTGATGCTCTAAATTTGGTCGTTTGATTTATTTTTTGCTTTCGTGTTCCAACCAGACTGGTTTGTTCGCCTGAGTCGGGTTTTATGCGTCTTCTAAGAGTTTTTCCTCTGGTCTCGTACAGCGTTGGGCTCCTTGGTTCTGGTTTTCTCGTACCCTTAGTGGATCAATTTCAATATGTCAGTCGATGGCGTCTTCGATGGGGTTCATTGCTTCCATAAATTCATGTTGTTTCTTCGTTCTCGCTTGAGCAAGTATACGAACGCCGTTCCAGTCGAACTCGTGTACTTCCAGATCTTTGTGCAATGTGATGGGGGAAATTTGTTCGTATCTTTTAACAGCAAGTTTGTGTTCATGTATTCTGTAAATGTCATGGAATTCGACCGGGTAGAGGTTGCGTTGACCACATCTTCATACTCCGTCAGGTGTTAGAGCAACGCCGCATGCACAGACAACCCACAATCCTGGTATTTTTTACTTCAAGGGTGCTTTCGATTCTGTTGATCGATCGGTTTTGTTAACTACACTTGCTCAACAGGGTATGCCCCTATATTCACATACTTCCGGGCGGGTGAGAGTGTATGTTAAGCTCTCCAAAAGCTTCCCTGCGAAAAGCGGTATCAGACAAGGATGCCCATTCTCTCCATTCTTGTTCGACTTCGTGACTGATGAAATAATGAACACTAGATGGGAAGTTCCTCAAGACCGCGGTGTTTAGATCGTTGTTTGCAAGACCGTCATTCAACTGGAGTACTCAGGCGACGTCGTCCTCATCTCTGAAGAGGAGGATAAAGCACAAGTTTTGTTGAATAAAATGACCATCATTATGCCATCTTTTGTCATGCTCCTCGCACCTTCAAAGTGCGGACTCATGCTTCAGAACGTACCGTCTGCGAAGGTATCCCTTACAATTCAAGGAGAACCACTGGAGATTGTGGAAAACTTTACATACATCGGTAGTTGTATTAGCTCTGACGCATGTGTGTCTGATGAAGTCAGTGCAAGAATCTCAAAGGCTCGAATCATGTTTGCTAATTTGCGTCACTTGTGGCGTCAAAAAGGCATCTCACTGGATCTCAAGGGTCGTGCGTACCAAGCTACAGTAAGGGCTGTGTTGTTGTGTGGGTGCGACACATGGACTCTGCGGACAGGTGATATGAGGTGTCTTCGGGTTTTCGACTATCGATACCTCAGAAGCGTGGCTGGTTGTGGATGGCGTCAGCGTGTTAGTAACGAGGTGATTAGAAAACGGGTATTTGGTTGTGCTGAAGGTATTTCAATCCGAGAAAACATCCAGCATCACCGACTACGATGGCTTGGTCATGTGCTGCGCATGCCGAAACACTGTCTACCGAGACGATTGTTGTTCTCCGTGCCTCCTTCAGGATGGCACAAACCGTGAGGTGGACAGCACATAAAAGAGATCACCAAGAGTTTGAGTGTTGTTGGTGTTTTACGCCTTCCAGGTGGGGTCCCCATGACCCCGCATGTGATTTATTTCGTGCAATGCAATTCGTTCCAGCTTTTGTATTATTTCTGCAAGTCACCCAGTCAATGCCAAAGTGACGAAATCGTTCGCTTCAACGTTTTTTGTGCATATGGCTTAATCTGGTCTGATTTAATGAGCAACGCTTCGCGCACCATTAAAACTGAGGTTTGCGTTGCGCAATACGATTTGAAAGGATTGACCGGGTCCATCCGGTGGCCAGTCTCTAACAAATGTCTGGTTGCTAACGATGAATGATTGCGTTTCCATTTCCGACCCGACAATCTTCCTGACAACGTTTGGATTACATACTTCCGGATGTGCCTGCGGCACGTTTCGTTAAGTATTTCTGTACTGCCGATGTAAGCGTCTCTATCGCCGCAGTAAACTCACAGACAGCATAAACTCACGCTTGGGCGGAACAAATACTCTGTTGATCGGTGTGAGATATAGCTCGGTCGCAGTATAAGAACGTTTAACGCAGAACTGAGACTACGTCTTGTGTCGCTGTTAACATGGCCGCCTTTGAACTGAAGAAACAAGCACATACCTTTCTTGCTGGCTGGATGAGTCGGGGTCGTTTATGCTCAATAAAATGCCCTGGGTAACCGTTCTACATTAGGATTTTCTTCAGGAATTCTTCCTCTTGCACCATTTGATCCGAACTGCATAGTCGTCAGTCCACTGGCTGGAAAAAGGACGTTTTCGCTCCAAGTCAATATGACAGCAGCAAATGCGAGCAGAGTTTACTAACCGGATGGTTCTCCTGAAAATATCCCATCAGTAGGACACAACCATCACCTTCACCATCCGTTAAAGCCATTTTATACGTTTCTTTCGGAGAGCATCCTTGTCCCCAGATGCATATTTTTTCCTTGGCGTCCTAGAGTTAAACAGTTCAGAATCCGCACAAGACCGATTCCAAACATGTTACCGTCACACAACGACCTTCATATCACTGTTCTATGACCAATGGCTTTGGGTACGCATGAGAGCGTCAAGTTATTTCAGCTCATTTTCGTGGAAGACGTACTTGCTAGATAAATTGGTAAGTGTTTCCAGGCTGCAAAGTCTAACAAGCCTGCATCTACATTACCCGGTGCAACCAAGGGACGAAGCTAATTTGTTCCTTTCCGAGCAAACCTGATTCTTTGATTGAACGAACTCTGAAACTTATGGGAGCCCTTCTCAGCCGCCCGTGCTTTAGACCGAGCTGGATGTTCACAAATGGTGTATAATAAGCAAAATGATAGGGTCTATGGTTTTTTTTTATTTCAGACGTATTTTTATGTAGACTTATTTTATGTGGCCAAGCTCACCGCAGCTGTTCACCGCATATACCTTTCTTGCATTCTCATGTTAACGTCAACCATTTAGTCTGTTCCTATCAGAGTATTTGTATCAGGATAAGGACACCAACATTCCATTTATGTCCTAACTGCTTGAAAGGATTTGTTTAGGTTAGGTTGTATATCAGACCACTTCTCGGTGGTGTGTATCGGTATTCGTTTTCCGTTTTATTAGACGGATAATGCACAGACCTGGCGTACTTCATTCACGGGAAATCCCCAACGATAACCGTATCGTAATTCGATCCTGGAAAACTCAGCAAGCGATATCATTCGTTCCTACTTGTGTACAGCGGTTGTGAAACTAATCAGTCACCTAACCCTCCGGTTATCAACCCCGTACGCTCTAGTTCAAATACACCAGCCGTCCATTACTAGTCAACTAACACGATGAGGGGGTCAGCCAAATGACTTACTTCCTCAACACGCACTTTATAAGTCAAAGTGCACACGAAAATTCTCACGAGGCTGAACTTTTTGAGATCCGATAACATCGTTCTTATCGAATTCCAAGCATAATCAATTTGGGCTGATAACCGGATCGAGGAGGTCTATTAATAGCCTACAGGTCATGTGATTGATTCTAACACCGCATTTCGGATAATCTGCCAAGCACCTGTCTACCTATTAAGATTCATCTCATATCAAGGTCTGGTCGTGGCTGAGACAATCATGGTTCACTCACGCAACCTCGGTCTTTACACTCAGAAATCGTTCGAACGCGCACTGAGACGTGACTGCTGTCCACTCAGGCTCATCGACCCTAATGTAAACAGTTTTCGCCTACAGACTCAGCTTTATCCATATTTTTTACTTGTATTATTCTTTTAATTTTAAGATCCTTTTATCTAAATTGATCTAAAGAAAAAATTGCGACGTCATTTATGTTAGTCACTTTTACAGTGTGTCTATTCTAAGCTCATGACTGCGTACCTTCAAGATTTTATCTAAATTGATCTAAAGAAAAAATTGCGACGTCATTTATGTTAGTCACTTTTACAGTGTGTCTATTCTAAGCTCATGACTGCGTAACCTTCAAGATAGAGAATAAGTAACTATTCGGACAAACCAGCTGACCGTTTACGAGTGTGAGGTTCAGCTACCACGTAGCTGGGATAAGAATCGTACTTGATGTTACCACCTGTGTCTAAACACCAGTGTACGAAAACTTCTAGGACCGGAGGGAAAAACTTGAGCCATCTTGTTGAAGACTGTATGCTCTTCGCTTAGTGGTGTAGACTCATGCATATCAAACATCATCTTGTTCTTGGCATCGAATAACTTCAGTTGTGTTTGTTGCGCTGCGGACCGTTCTGCACTCTGCTCGATTTTGGCTGTCCAAAGCTCGAAAATTTCCGGTGTACCAGACTGTTAGGTACCGTTCTTGAATGCTTACTTTCCGCTGTTTTCGTGCCTAGCCTAGAACGGATGAACTATGGCCTGACCATAAAAGACGGTTGTTGGGCAGTCCATACAAATTAATCACGGATTCCTCGTGTTCTGATTCAAATCCGTAGCCACCTAACTTCATTGTTACTTTACTTGTAGGTAGGAGGAGTTCCTTGTAGAAATGGGTCGCCACATAATGTTTTCTAGTCAATCGTATACGGTGACCTATCTCATATGTGAGGTGACCACCCGTCTTTGTTCAATAGTCTGTAACTTACGAGTTACCAGTTTGTTTGAAGAATGCTAAACGGTCCACAGTGCCTTGCCTTCTACTATTTACTCCACTTGTACAGCTTGGTCATTGGTTTGTCATTTCCTCTTTCGCTCACTCTTAAATTCTCATTTACATCCCTGCAATGCTTTGCCTACGACAGCCGTGCTATTCTGGTTTCGCATCACCATGTTTGGCTTGCCTGTCAAATGAACGAAATGTCTATTTTCCCCTACGGCATGCAACTACAGCAGGTATGGATTTAATACCTGGGGTGATCTGTGGTAGTTGAGCTGTCTCACTGGAAAACGATAGGCCCATCACACCGATCCCTAGGTACGCCGTGGTTTTGTCACACTTTCGAAGTGACCGTTTTCACTTCTCAAGACCATCGGAAATAATGCCGACGAGCATTTGTTATTACGGTAACTTGATGGTTCTTTTATATCCTTTTCTTAACGTTCAGACGCTGAATCGATTCCCTTTGATTGAACTGACCATGTGGTTGGTTGGTCCAGACCCATCAAATTCTCGTACTCAACGGTTGTGTCGTGAGGTTCTCCTGGACAATGAAGGAAAATCAACTCACACGCTAGGCGTGTTCGCTGAAACTGACTACGTGCTTCGCGTGAGACTAACACGTATAAACCCAGTTGGGCGTGGAAGGCATCTGGTGAGTATGATGTCTGTTGGGTTCACTTTCGTTTTGCACTTGAGTTTGGCTGCTAATTGGCCGACAGTGATTCGTTTCATCTAGGAATCCATCTATTCCGGATCAGAGGACTTTCCTACACCTGCTAATACACATTCTTTTGGGCCTTGTGAGGCTGCTGAGCGGTCATTCTCAAGGAGGACTTGAAACAACCTTGGTCATTATTTGGGCTGCTTTTCGGGGGAAAAGAGGCTTCTCTGAGTGCTTACCCTTGATGGATATACATGCGCAGGTCAATCATGCGTCTTCATAGTCCACCTATGCCGCAGGTAAAACAGCGCGGCACGAAGACTGGGACGTTAGAATTGTTGTACCGAATCTGGCAAAGACGATGATGCTGTTTTTTTCACTTCTACGGGTGCGACGCGTAGTCTATCTCCGTCAACTCAATAGTGTAACATGGGAATCAAAATAATCTCAGTCGCTTTTTAGTCTCTGCATCATCGGAAGAACCCAAATCGCATTTCGAACCACTTTGAGTGAAACGCCAGAGGGACTTTCCACAGTATTCCGTGATACCTTCTGTTTGTTTAAATTCTTCTGATTGTATCGTTTCTGTGAAATGGAAGAATAAAACCAAAATTGTCTTCGGAATAGTTTGGGAAACAATTATTTTCTTAATAGGGAGACAATAGGCCACTGAAACAGGTATATTCTAGTGGAAAAGTGTACCAGCTAATCAAAACGACGTATTTCCGCACCAGTCTGAATCGTTGAGAATCGTTTAAGAGTGCTGATCTAGAACTTTGGTTCTACATTTCTGCACCTCCGTTGCGTAGACAGTGCATTGAACCGATTCGAGAAAATCGATAAAAAAGAAAAAGGAGTTTTTGTTAAAAGACTTAGGCGTATTTCCTTTGGATTTATTTTGCTTTCGGTTAGGCTAACCTTAGAGTGACACATGTAGATGTCTGTTATACGAGGCTTGGTGCCATTCTGTGACGAAATCCACTCGAGGGGTTGGATCACAGAAGTGAATCGTAGTTGTACACCGAATTACTCCCCATCTTGTCACTAATTGTCACACAAACTCCATGGTAAAGAAAATTCTCCAAATTGAGGTTTCGGGATCATGACAACCGTTTCCGAATAACTATCTCATTGCAATGAAAGTACAACGAACTACTGTTAACAGAATCATAACCTCCTTCAGTCGACCTAATCCGATCACTAAAGGATGAATTGTGACCTGTTCATTTCGCAAAGTTGTGGTAGTTACAATGCTTAAGGTTCTTTGTAGTATCATGTTCGGTTGATGTTGTAACAGGTAACTTGTGTCTCACGACCGAGTTCCCACGACCAACTGAGTTGTGAGCGTGCACTTTAGGTAGGGTCGAGCTTCTGATGCACACAGCTTTCGCTTGACACTACAGTTCAGTCATCTAAGCATTTCCCAGAGTTAGGGTCAAACGAGATGCGGATGTTGACGTTTGTGACCTAAGATATAGTCTGTTCGGTGGAATGTGTCTGGATAAGATGAAAACGAAGCGAGCAGTTGGTATTTGGCCTCTGTTGTGTTCCATTAGTTTGAACACAAACGATATAGAAGTACCCATTTCAAACGATAGTTCCCACCTTTATGCATCCATGAATTTTTTCTTACTTCGCCTCCTGGTTACTCGTCATCACTGTGCTCAAAAGCTGTCAGTCACCCTTAAACCTCTTCTGCTTTCATCAATTTCAGTTGGCAAGTTCATCATCCCTAGTCAAAGCCAAGACAGAGGGCTGGGTGGTTGTTCTGGGAGATCCAGAGGTCAGTCGTTCGCAAGGTGGTTACCTCATGGCATTAAAGCGTGTTTCACCCAATCCGGTCAGAGGAAAAGGTTCATCCAGTCAAATTCCCCATTCCAGTTGGACAACGAATCTTGCGTTTCGTTTTCCAGCCCTACGTTCCAAGTCATATTCTGGATTCCAGTCGTCAGAACGACGCATGCTTACGTTGTTCCTGATGTCTACATCATATCTGGGCCTAGATCAGCAAGTATTTCTTTCACTGGACATTATTTGTCGGGAGGATGAAAATGACGATGGATATTCGAATCACTAGTCTGTGTTTGCTGCCCATAACTTAGTTACTTTCTCACCCTCCCTCCCCAAACAGCCAACTATTTTTACACTTTTTCTTTGGGATTATTGGGTCTTTCCTTGGACGTGCCTATGGCTTATGCATTTTTGCGATAAGAGATCACACTAACACCCTATGCCAAAGCTTTCTCAATGACTTTTCTCATGTTGGCACTTGTTATGCGGTTAGGTTCGTGGGACAACATTTTAAGCATTCTGTCCTTTATCAACACTGTAGAACTCTGGACGTTCGTGGCGGATATGGTGACTTTCTGCTCATAGCAGATCCAAGAGGGGGTATTTTAAAAGCTTGTGCTTCTAGGGGAGTGTGTCATATTGACTTATGACCATGTTCATTTCAATTATGAACAATTGAAATACCACTGGTAATGTCGTAACATATTTGAATAGAGTTTAACACTAGAGCGGCGAGTTGAAAATCCTCCTCACCTTTGTGACAAGCCTGCCCCTCAGCACTGTCAGGGCGCGCCCAGATAGAAGAAAAAGCACATGTGCACAGAGTGACGCATCCCCAAGGTCACCATCGGTTCGACACGTCCAGAAAGTAGGTGAGTCGTCGGCTCCCACCAAACACGGCCCAGCAACACACGACCAGCGTAGTGGGCCTGAAAACGTTCACGACCGAAGCACCACCATTGGCTGTACGGAGCGAACAAGTGAACGACCATATTTGGCCGTTTAGTCATCCTATATCTTTACGCAGAGGCTCTGTACGTTTTGTCCTGGTGATACAGCCGTGTCCCCAGTTCTCTGTCTTCTCCCTATCGCGTAGTCCGGCAGGCGTAACCAATAGCTCGGCCACCGCACAATACAACAAGCACAAAACAAACTGCGTAGTGAAAAACGTTAAAAAAAACTCTCAAGTGAATGAAGTTGCACTTCGTGGACTCCTATTTTTACCAGGAGTGAATAATCACGTTCGTATTTACCCCACGTTTCACGCATTTCTGAATGGGGTGGTTACTGATGTAAACAAATGTTGCCAAAAACAATACAAAACCCCTATGGATTCCCATTATCCACCGAATTTTTGTTGATGACTATAATCTGACGGTCTGTAGTCCTGTGCCTTGTGGATTTTCATTGCTTTGTCCTCCATGTTACCTCACATATTTTCTAAAAACTGAACTCGAAACGTATATTCTACGTGCTTAAATGAATCAACAAGCCTTAGTATTAGTCTGTTTTAGAGATCACCAAACAAAGGTGTGTCGAATCATTTCGAGCCACTCTGTTTCAGGATAGTGCGGCGTTTTCTCACTAACCGATTCCTTGTAAATACACTCCTGTTCTCATTAACTTCTCTATAAACGAGCTTCCTCTATTGTATCCACAACTTAACGTATACTACATGACGATAGTGACTATAAAACGAAATTATGAAAAATGAGTGGACTGAAACGTTAGCATCCAGAACATTTTCGAGTAGACTGGTAACAACCATATTTGCGAATGTTGGAAAGGATGATCGAAATGCCTGGTTGCCAAAACGTTCGGTGTGGGCTAGCACCTGTTTGTTGTCACACACATCTTTGATGAGTTTTGGAGAACACCTAAAACGGAGCCGGTCTCTGAACTTCGAGGCTGGTTCAAGTTGTCTTCTGTCTGGTAGACTAAATGGCGAGAAAAAGGTTTTGCGCCTCTAGGTAATATTACAGCAGTATTTGAGTTTAATCAGAGAATAGACTGAATGGCTATGTGTATGGATTGTTTGGAAACTTCCTTGTGTAAGTAGGATCGTTGAGTGAGCATGTTTACGGAAATGTTGCTATAATTTTTGAACCTCCGATGTCTCAGGTCTCGCCAAGTTTTCTACTGTACTATAATGTACCATATTATATTGTATTACGCTACACTATATCGGCTATACTATATATACTATACTATATTATATACGCTATATTCAGCGACTCTGTGACATAACTGCAAACAAATTTCCAGTTTCAAATACTGTTATTTGTCAGGGCGGAACCTATGATATAATCCGTGAAATATGAACCCCTGGTCAATCTAATGTTGGGTCGTTCTGTACGCCCAATGAAAGTAAAAGACGACATCCGTTTGTATGCCTTCAGCAGATCCTATTGTGGTAAGCTGGCTTATGGGAATTCGAATCGTGATGAATACACTACAGGAACGAGACATGAATGCGTTGTACGCATTGGATACGGAATTCGGGGCTGTTAGCCGGTTGGTTGACTCAGTACTCAGCACTAGTGCGTTGCTTCAAGGTCATCCACGCTGCTCACCATTACAAAGAAATGGCAATTTCTGCGTTGGGATTGATTAGAGTTTTGGCGCTCGTGCATGAAATACTGCCCTTATCAGCTAATCTAATCGTCGCTATCTGTTCTACAGATCATTGAGTGACAGTTGCAAAAATGAAGCCTAATTCGACTTCCTGTCTGTGGTAGTCAACCAAAATATTCTTCCTCCTTTTATGAGTGGTTGAATGGTCAGGTTTGAGACAATATCTGTAAAAAAACATCCTCTTTTCCTAAAGCATTCATGCCATATGAAGAAACTATCCATGCATAAACCCTCGAAATCGGAGACTTCGGAAGTGATTTATATCTCCGAACTCGAAAAGCGAACTGCTTTTTGAGAAGTACTTTATCCACACTCCCCCTCTGAACAAAAGTCACTACATTCACCTATCCGACACACAACAAGGCCTCTGTCCGTCCCCAAGTGTCACTTATCCCAAGTTCAGCAGCAACTGATCGAATGAACACAAACCAAACGTTTCTGTGCGTTCTCACATGTGAAGTCCCGACCTAAAGCTGCCACCTTGATGTGGTGGTCGGGCTTGAGTGCTGCAATGATCCCGCCGGCTACACTGGCTGGAACTTCGTTCCACAAGGTGCAACCATGCCAGGAAAGCCAAAGGAGAGCAGCGAGACCCCGTACTACGAGTAATCGTTGTACGAGGCGGCCTGGGGGTAAAGTCGTACTGTCCTCTGCGACAGGAGTGTGAAGGCAGTAAGGTATTTTCCCCAGTCGACCAGCATGTCCATATTTATGGAAGCAGCGATGCTGCCTTCCCCCGAGGAAGGACGGGTTAGAAAAGGTCGGCCCCAAAAACCGCACACTCCGATCGCCCAACGGTTGACCGTGACCGCCGGCGCATTATCCGATACGGTCGAAATACTTTTAAAACCAAAGAGCCCGGTGCTGCTCAAAAGGCACCTGCTGTGCGCAGCCGCATCAGGAATGAGACAGTAATGCCTTATTCCCTGCGCCCTCGGGTTAGGCCAACCCCCTGCAGCCGAGCAGGTCAGACTATTGAGTCATCGGCTCCGGGCAGGGTCCCCAAAGAAAACCCTACATTCTCCCACTGCCTCGTGGGTCAGACTTTTGAGTCAGAGGCTAGGGTCAGGGTCCCCGAACAAAACCCTACGTCATCCCACTGCCTTGTGGGTCAGACTTTTGAGTCGAAGGCTCAAGGTGGGGTACCTCAACCAAACCCCCTTCCTCGGCCTGGGCAACCGGGAAGTATCATTTGCCCGCGCAGTTCAGCGTCCACCGATGTCCCTCCCCAACCCCTTCCCACTGCACAAGCAAACGTCGCTGGGCCATTTGACTGTCAGTCATCTGACCGAAGGGCCTTATGCTCCACGCTGCCTACAAACCTTAAACAAAATAACACCTTTCTAAATCCACGAGATCCTTTCTATATAGGAGCTTTTAACGTCCGTACTCTATGTCAAATTGGCAAACAGGCAATGCTTGCTGAAACCTTGTACTCCCTTAAAATTGATGTATGCTGTGTCTCCGAAACACGCATACAAGACCCGAGCGTGGTTCTGCATCTCAGAACGCCAAGGATGAACTCAGCTCTTTCACATTTCTCCCTCCGTGTGTCTGGTGACCCAGAAGCGATGACTCGTGGAATATATGGCGTGGGAGTTGCACTCAGCCCCAGAGCTGAACGCGCTTTGCTGGATTGGATCCCAGTGAACAGTCGTCTCTGCGCCGTCCGGTTATCCAGTTCAATCAAGCTCAATGCCTCGCGGCATAAAAAGCGGTGCCTGTTTGTCGTGTCGGCTTATGCCCCAACGGACTGCAGTTCTGATGCGGAGAAGGATACTTTCTATCGAGAGCTATCCGGACTCATTCGTCAGGCAAAGAGCACTGACATTGTGATCCTTGCAGGCGTTTTAAATGCTCACGTAGGTCGACTGAGCTCCTCGGAATCACATTTGGGTGGTCGATTCGGAGTCGATGCTGGCCGCACAGACAACCGAGGTCGACTCCTTCAGTTGTGTGCTGATCACGAACTGTTTCTCGCAAGTACGAACATTCAACACACTTTCGCACCGCGTAACCTGGCGGCCCCCAACTACAAATTAACCGTGGACCCAATTGGACGACGTGGCCATCAGTCACCGGTGGAGGGCCACAATTCAAGACTGCCGTTCCTTCTGGGGCACACCACAAGATTACGATCACGCCATGGTGCGCGCACGCCTCCCAGTTCGTTTCCATTCAGGCCCTCGCAAGTCTGCAAGAAGCATGCCAATCTGTAGTGGATAACGCTAGCAAATACCAGTTCAAAGTAGTTAAATCAGGAGAGTAAAAATAGGTGAGATGATACAACTCACAGTTCGTTGGTACAGTTAGGTATTAAAACCACAATAAATCCAAATCGATCTCCTTCCTGGGATCTTCCTTAATATGTTCCTAGATACTTTCCATCCCGTCGTAGTCTGAAAGGTGGATCACAGCTCGTTAATTCACTGACGGCGTAACTCGACACAACAAGAAGGGAACACGCCTTTCACGAGGTACAGAATTTGTATTGTGTGTATGCATCCATATTTCTTTGCTTTCATTTAAACAAAAGTTATTCGGTATGAAGAGAAGCGGAATAAGCTGAGATTTAGTGAGAGATAGAAAGTGGCACAATTTGAGTAATGATAAGTTACAAAGAAAGTACTAATGTACAATGGTCAAAAGGACCACCATAGAACTCCCCCCCCCACTAGAGCGTTGCATAAACTAAATGAACGCTCGACAAGGAACGCTACTAAGATATGTAACTGTGCAGCTTCGTTGGCCAAGTCACATTTCTACCAGAACGAGTATGAACAACCGGCTACCCGAACTTGTGGCATCTCGCCCAGTATGTCTTTGTGTAGTTCTTGCTTCATGGCCGGCAACCATGTTGGGCA